CAGGGTTTTGGAGTTTTTGTGAGGAGTTCTTCACTTTTTCAGTCGGTTCTCCGGCTGCCCAGAATTGTAACAGGTGGCAAGTGCATTAGCCGTCTGCATCTTCTACCGGAGGTCGCACAGGACGCGGTCGCTCGATCCTTCCCGTGAATTCTTAATCGTTATAAAATGAGAAGATTTAAATCAAAGAAAATATCAATGCTAATCTCGGATCGTTAATAGGGGTATATGGCTGAATCGAGTCAGTCCATTATCCGAACATTCCGAAATGATCGACTGGCAGGCTGGATGATACTCGTACAGCAGCTCTTAAGAGGAGCAGCTCTAAAAGAGCTGTCTTCGTTTTCTTCAAATCCTACAATTCGTTCTATTACCTTGTAATTGTACAAGATGAAAATTCCTTTCACAAATTTCAGGTATTAAGGGTCAATAAGGGTCAGAATATTATTGCAGTAGAATGAAAAACAATTTGACTACAACAGGGAAAAATGATAGTTTAGTTCATTCCAACCGCAATTAGGTAGTAATACATAATTATTGTAAATTGTTTTAAACATTATGCACAAAACTAAAACGCTAAATCGTTCTATACATGAAGAAGATGCGTTAATAATTACTTCTATTTATATTACGTTGAGACGTTAGCATAAATTTTGTATTTTCCTGTTTGTTGGTCTTTTCAATTTTAAAATTTGCCGCCAAATTCGCGGGCCACCCTTCTTGCACTCGCTCGGGATCGAGGGTAGAAAGTGTAGAGAAAGTGTACACTCGGGGTAGATGCTCTTGCAAAACGAACAGCGACGTCTGCGTCACTTTCGTCAAAACGAACTGAAACGAACGCCAAAGTGTACACGTTTCGTAAAAGTGTAGAATGTGTAGGCAAAACGAACAAACCTTATGTGACCCCCAACCACATCTACTGTTTCAAATTGGACCTGTTCCCGCCAGAGCTTCACTTTTCCTTATTTCAATAAAATTCTAAAAATTGCTATATTCGATGGTTTAGAAGGATTAAAAGAATGTGACATGGGTTGTTAAGGTTAATGGTCAGTTAATGGTTTAAATGAGTTTGACTAGAAACATTTATAAATGTAATTTATCGGGCAGTTTTGTTCAGTAAAAATATTGCACGTGATATTTAGCTTACACTGCTGTTTGTACCGTTGTTTTTAAACTATAGTTTTTGTCAGTTTATAATGAGCCCGATGATACTTTTGCAGTATAATAAATAGTTATAGATGAGTTTTAGAAAGAGACAATCTTTCCATGACATTATTTTAATTACATCACGGTGATTTCATGACGCAATTTAATGCTAATTGAAGAATTATTCAGAGGTAAATAACGGTGTATTGTTAATTGCTACTTTATGTCATGTATCTATTGAAACAAACTGACTACAAGTTGATAACGTCTCGTTATATAATTTGTTACTGTAAATGTTGAGATATCTACATGAACATATACATATATATGTATCTTTACAAATCAACGATGTGATAATATTGATCATGAAAGATAAAATGATGCGCCAAATTACTTATCGTAACACTTGACCATTTACAGTGGAATGACAACTCTGATATTTGGAATTGGTTTGGGACTTTTTGTCATATTGAGTCTTTGGGTGTCCGCTGGATTGATATGTTTGATCTCTCTGCGAACTGAAAAGAGAATCGGTCCAATTGCTGTAATCATTGCAACGGTAATCACCATAATTCTCGTAAGCGTCCCACGAGCTTCAGAAAAGCCAAGCTATCAGGAAAATAAGGTATAGCATTATTTTAAGAGCAATTGATATTTTTTTCAGGATTTTAGATATTTATTTCTTTCGATTATGCTTTCCAGCCATACGATCAACTATTTATTTGGCGAGTGATACTTGTGGTCTTATTAGCGCTTTCTTCGATTGTTGGATTACTTGGATACGTTAAAGTTGGACTAATGGAACCTATGAGACCTTTAAGAATCAGAAGTTGGGTTTTTTAATAATAGCAGTTTATATTTCCAACATTAGAAATATCGAAATATTTTTTAAAAAATAGCTTTTGTAAGCCTGATATAATTAGAAAGATTATGTGTATATTTAAGATATACACGTTTAAAGGTACAGTAATTGCGATTTCGTTGTGATTAAAAAAAAAACTATATAATTTAAATTGATCTTAGGAAGAAAAGAAGCTTGTATGCAAAAATTGATAAGCTATATTGTAAATGTCACTACTCATATACGCCGAAAAGACTGTTACGATGTTGAGTCACGTTAAAAAAATGATACAGTTTTCAGCACGCGGGATTTCCTTACTTACTCGAAGAAATAAGAAATTTGATATAAAGGATAATACAGAATTTATTGATAAGGTGTGGAATAGTCCTGTTCCTGTAATAGTAAATTTTCATGCAGAGTGGTGCGAGCCATGTAAAATTCTTACACCAAAATTAGAAGAACTAATTGGTCCCATGGACCAGTTACACCTAGCTATCGTTAATGTGGAATTAAATCCAGAATTAGTTCACACATTTGAAGTAAAAGCTGTACCAGCAGTTATTGCAGTTTCGAATGGCCTAGTAGTAGACAAATTTATTGGTTTGGTCGATACCACGATGATAGATAATTTAATAAAGAAATTAGTAAAAATTACTAATACGGAAAATAAAAATGGATAATTAACCCATTCTATGTATGGCTACAATTTTGCTTGGTGCTTTTACAAGTGTACAATCTGAAGTTCACCGTTGTCTATTTCTGTAAATCTAAGTCCGTGCATTGTTTAGGTTTCTTTTGAAATCCTGTTGTAAGATTGTGCAAATAGCACATTCATAGTCTTAAGTGTTAGAACGTTTACGCGTCCTGCACATGCAAGTACCATTTATGAATATGTACCGAAAAATCTCCGTTATAAGTACCGATAGAAATATATTCTATTGTATATTAGTTTATGCATCGTGAAAATTGTGATTACATCTGCAGCTATATCACCTAAAAGAAAAATGAAGCCTTAATAGTTCTTTTAGTACAAATTAGTCTCTATGTTTAAAATTTAACATTGACTCAATTTAGGTGAATTTATTAAAAAGTATATTTTAATCAACATAAGAAATTTAAAAGAATGGTGCCACCGGAAATAGTTATAATCATGAGATTCGATGGTACTTTGTCGTATCGAAACTTTAACTCGGTACCATCAGACATGCGTGCATTTATTATTGCCATATAGTTTGTACTTAATTTCACTTCGTGTCAAACATACAAATTAAGTCCTGTGCCTTTACTGCACTTTCTTTATTTTAAACATCAACAAAGACTTCCTAACGTAAAGGAAATGCAAAGTAGTTCTTAGAAGAACTGCATTTTTTTAACTTAGAGTGAAAGAACCTAGACCTATTTTTTGTAAATGCTCACATAATATATATATGTATATATATATATATATATATATATCCGTTTGGAAATTATAAATAAACATGTAAAATGGAGTCTCCGCAATACCAGTAGGACACATTAGTAAAGATTAAAGGAATTTTTTGAAAAAAGTAACGTGTCTCATTTATTAGTCATTTCTGTCATAGTAATACTTCATATTCGTAAACCAGTTCATAAACTTCTTTCATAGCGCATTACGTCCTACTATGGTATCGTAACATAATTACAAAACGATCCCAACTGAAGTTTATATTACACGGTACGTTACACGGATAATATTAATCAATAGTAAGGACCCACTTAACTCTACAATATGTATATCATTTTTACATGCTTAAGAACTCTACTTGTAGCCCATTTCGATTAGAACTGTATATCATCGACCGTTCTTATTTGCTCGTATAAGATAACCATTTCGGTATCGCTGATTCAACTATTTAACGCTGCATCGACTACACGATCCACTAAACTTTAAACTGCATTTTGTAGGATTGATCAATTTTGTTCAAAGAGCGCACAAAAGGACCCGACAGTTGTGGCCGAATTAGTCTGTGTGAACCTGGAATCTAGTTTGAGGCACAAACAAAATTAACAGCCCTTTTGGAATGTTTCTATGATGTAGATGTTTGGGTCATGTTGAGTTTTATTTCTGGCATTTTTCTTTTTTTTTTACAAAAACCAGAGCTGTTTAAAAAAATAAACAAATTCCGCAATTGTGGAAATTTGGATTTTTCGACTCTAGTGGGTTCTCTGACGTTAGGAAAATTTTTAAGGTTAACACATTCTCGACCGGCAAATTTTTTCCGTTTAAAATACTGAGTACCGGCGAAAATAATGAAATTCTGAAATTGGTTGCCGCAAACTTGTATCGTGTATCGTTAGACGTGATTCACGTCAGTGGCAATCAGGAATAGAATTTAAAATGACGTAAATTCACGTCAGCGGCAACCAGGGATAGAACTTGAAAAGGACGTGAATTCACGTCGGCGGAATAGAATTTAAAATGACGTGAATTCACGTCAGCGGCAATCAGGAATAGAATTTAAAATGACGTGAATTCACGTCAGCGGCAACCAGGAATAGAACCTTGGAAAGACGTGAATTCACGTCAGCGGTCGCGAATGTGTTAAAATGGTCATTTTCGGAATTTATCTATTTTTTTTAACAGCGCTGGTTTTTCTAAAGAAAAATGGCACGAATGTCTACACCACAGACACATTCCAATAAGCCTGTTCATTTTGTTTGTGCCTCAAACTTAATTCCAGGTTCACATAGCTGCCGAATTACTCCTGCGAGTTATTCCACATGAAATTACTAAGATTCGGAGTAACTCCTTCCCAACACGCCGTACCTCTTCGATAACAAACGGTCCATCGCGTGTTTCAATAAAATAACCATAATCAGTGCACAGAAATATCATTTTCATTCGAATGCACCCTAAGGGAAATATACATACTTTTTAGGAGGGCACAAAAAAAAAAGGAAAAAAAAGTGAATTAGGTGAAAAATATATTTCCCGTTTACTTTTAGGCAATGACTTACAATACTTTTGATTTCCGTCATTTTCAATAAGATTCAACACAGTGTGCTCTAAGCCACCTGTACATCGCATCCCCATTACTTAACATTACGCAGACTAACTGATAACTGACAGTCAATTTTTTCCCCAATTATAAAAAATATTCGCGTTACTATAAAAACCCTAGTAAGACCCAGGGCTTAAGGTGATATGAAAGGGTCATTCTATATGTATCAAAAGATGAAAATGTTTATAAAACATTTCTACAAACTGGGTCCACCGAATTATCTGAAACATTAACACGTGATTATGGAGGCCCCAAGGAAGAACGCGATGCTCGTAAAATTTCAGTTTACGGAAAAAAATGTTTTCCTTTTTGCTTTTGTGTCTCAGATATATATATATATAATTTTTCTTCGATAAAATGAAACTTTACGAACATCGCGTTCTTCCTTGGGGCCTCCGTAATCTCGTTATGATGTTTCAAACGATTCGGTGCACCCAATTTGGAGAAGTTTTATAAATATTTTGACTTTCGACATGTATATATGACACTTTCATACCACCTTAAGGTGATGTGAATGTGACATCGAAAAGGTTTCATTCATGAAACTTTCCTTCGAATTGGGTTTACCGAATCGTTTAAAACTTCACTTCTGAACACGTAGGAGACTATAAAGAAAGTCCTGAAACTCATGAAATTTCATTTTTCTAAATTTGTTTATAGGTGTTTTAAAAATTTGTATAAGAATTGAAATTTCAGTTTTTCATTTTTAAATTTGTTTACAGGTATTTAAAAAAGATTTTTATAAGAAATGAAATTTTATGAGGGTCGGGACCTTCCTTACAGCTTCCATGTTTCCTCCTTCTGAACACGGAGGAGACTATAAAGAAGGTCCTGAAACTCATGAAATTTAATTTTTCTAAATTTGTTTATAGGTATTTTAAAAATTTGTATAAGAAATGAAATTTCAGTTTTTCATTTTTAAATTTGTTTACAGGCATTTAAAAAAGATTTATATAAGAAATGAAATTTCATGAGGGTCGGGACCTTCCTTACAGCCTCCATGTTCACATTGTAAAGTTTGAAACCGATTCGGTACACCCAGTTCGTAGAAAAGTTTCATGAACGATTAATCTATCGGATGCCTCTTTCACATCCCCTTAAGATGTACAGCTTCGACATTAGGCATATATGACTAGACCAGTAAATGAAATCGAAAATATTACGGCCGACTCCACTTCAAAGTGGGAACGTGATTTGTCGTAACATTTTTTAAACCATTTTTATAGCCGAGTGCAAGCGACATTCTACACTTTTTCATTTCCTGCCGGACCTTAATCCGTTTCCATATCTACCATATTACAATGGAATCAAGATAAACGATGACATTCTCTCCTACTCCGAACAACAATGAAGGCATATGGAAGAGAGCTACTTCATGATTAGTTTAAACATTTCTCGACACAACTGTGAAAATCTCTTAAATTGTCGAACAATTCAGGATATTTAACTTCTCGCGAAGCCAGCGAAGTTACTCCAACAAAACAGTAATTTGGTATGGAATCACTCCGATACATGTGTATGTATATATATATACGTGTGTATATGTAAATTGGATGTGTGAACATTTCGTAACAAGTTTTAAAGAGGGATAAGGGAGAACAATTCCTCCGTAAGGACCGAGAACGAAGATTTCAATATTACGCTATTGGCTTGCCTTCGACCTCCGAATTATTTTGTAGAATTTCTGAAGAGTACTGCCCCTCCGAAGGAAGTGTATATATATATATGTATATATAGGCCGAAGTATCATAATGAAAATATATATATATACATATATTGCTCTCCAGGTGCTTTCGACTAATTAAAAACTACGCCATCAATTCTCCCGGCAACAAGCAGTACCGTCGAATGCGCGCCAATAGTTTAAAGACTAGCTAAGAAAAATTCTTCATTATCAGTCAGGTGTCCTCGACACACCACGATAAGGCAATGCTGTGATTCGCCGGTTACTCGCAAAGAAGCTGTTGCACGTTACCAAAGAATTCAGAAGTCTCCATAGAAGCCCAGAAGGATACGGACGTTCGATGCTGGATAAATAGTACGTTAGCCAACGGATGGCGGCGCTGTAATCATCTCTCCATGGCGATATATAGCGATTGCATTCTTTTTTTATCTTACACCCAATACTCGCCTTTCCATATGCGTCTCTCTTCCTCTCGTACGTGAGATATCGTTGGCTAACACGTGGGATCTCTCTTTTACCCCCACTTCTGGTTTGTTAGCCAACTTTTACAGCATCAAGCGCTAACATAGGATCTGGGCTTCTATGGGATTCTGACTTCTTTGATAGAAACTCAGAAGGATACGGACGTTCGATGCTCGATAAATAGTACGTTAGCCAACGGATGGCGGCACTGTAATCATCTCTCCATGGCGATATATAGCGATTGCATACTTTCTTTATCATACACTCAATATTTGCCTTTCTATATGCGTCCCTCTTCCTCCTGTACGTGAGATATCGTTGACTAACACGTGGGATCTCTCTTTTACCCCCACTTCTGGTTTGTTAGCCAACTTTTACAGCATCAAGCGCTAACATAGGATCTGGGCTTCTATGGGATTCTGAATTCTTTGATAGAAGCCCAGAAGGATACGGACGTTCGATGCTCGATAAATAGTACGTTAGCCAACGGATGGCGGCGCTGTAATCATCTCTCCATCTCTCTTAATCTTATGGCGATATATAGCGATTGCAGTCTTTATCATACACTCAATATTCGCCTTTCCATATGCGTCTCTCTTCCTCCCGTACGTGAGATATCGTTGGCTAACACGTGCGATCTCTTTTTTACCCCCACTTCTGGTTTGTTAGCCAACTTTTAGAGCATCAAGCGCTAACATAGGATCTGGCTTCTATGGGATTCTAAATTCTTTGATAGAAGCCCAGAAGGATACGGACGTTCAATGCTCGATAAATAGTACGTTAGCCAACGGATGGCGGCGCTGTAATCATCTCTCCATGGCGATATATAGCAATTGCATACTTTCTTTATCTTACACCCAATACTCGTCTTTCCATATGCGTCTCTCTTCCTCCCGTACGTGAGATATCGTTGACTAACACGTGCGATCTCTTTTTTACCTCCACTTCTGGTTTGTTAGCCAACTTTTAGAGCATCAAGCGCTGATATAGGATCTGGGCTTCTATGGGACTTCTGAATTCTTTGACGTTACAAATGAATTACGGAGAGTCTCGAGTATGGACAATGTACCTTGCGACGAAAATCACGGCTACACAGAACGGGGGGTTTCTTTGCTAGCAACCTTGCGACCTATTATTCTCATATCTTTTCTTCTTCTACCTCTCCCTGTCGTTCCCAACAATCAAAGTACACCCTTTGAATGTCGGTAGCCGTTTCTTAACCGGACGGCATGCGTATAGAATATGGATTCGCGTTGTATACAGCAGTAACGTTATATCGCATAACTTGAGAAAAATTAAGTAAAATCCCGGATGAAGAAGTTCCATCGAAAGGAAGGTGTCTCGCGAGTCTCGCGTATCACGAATAAACCTAGACGAACGCTTCCCAAAGGGAGTCGGAAATAAAACTAAGAAATTCGCCTCCCGATATCTCTCTAACATCCGGCGGGCCAAAACGAGTGATTAATCCCGAGAGCTCTTACTGTCGTACGCTTATAACTTATCAGTGTACCGATATGTCCTCTAGAGGCATCTCTTCGCAAATTTACAATCGCGCCCTCGTGTTAGAGTAAGCTCAATCGCTATTTACAGCGTTACGCCTACCGATTTGTTTAAAAAAAAGTGTAACAAAATGTAGAAAAACACGAACGCCGCCGCGGTGTTTATGCGTATATGTACAAAGTATTCGTCGATGTTAGGGCAGACCTCGGTCGACCTGGGACGATTCGTTAACGTCGGGGCGAATCGTCGCGGAAATTCAATTTCCCCCGGGGGGTAACGAGTCTCTAATCACCGCCGCGATTACACTAATTATATGATACACGCTTATGGTACAACAATTTGGTATGCGGTGATAACACATCACGACAGGACTCCGCGTATCCCGTTAATTCGGCATACAAATTAATACTACGATTGCGTTCCGTATCGCCAGACCTCGGATCATCCCGTGTGCACGAAACGCACAAGGAGGCTCGACCACAAACGCATTATCGTAATGCGTAGTGTCAATGGTCCATTTGGCAACGCGGTTCATAGTAGGGTCTCGACAACCATCCCAATAGAGGAAACGGAAACTAAGATAACAAAAGAGATAACACATTCGTACAGATTCCGCTTCGAACCCGGAAACCCTTTCGAACGGCTCCCCAAGTTGAGCCACAGAGAGCCGATACGTGGAATGTACGCATTCTGTGTTCAGCCATTGCATTGTCCTAACAGGCAACATGGGACATTGGCTAGACCTCGACGCCCAGATCCCGAACTCCTTGTTCCGCTATGGGGACGTATTTGTCGTCGATTTTCACCAGGAGGATCACTTTGTCGACGTGAGACCGGCGATTGGGGTCTCGATGATTCGGTGACCACCTGTGTACCACGCAGCCCTCCATGCCTCTTTCAGGTACCCAGTGCTGCCAGCCAGAGCGACCTCCTTGCTGCCTCATCCTCTCGTCAGGCCAGATCACGTCTATTCGTCGACCCAGATTGATAGCATCGTACACTTGGTTCGGGTCCATGATCTGCAGTATTTGATAACTTTACGATATGGCCACTCGGTGATTCTAGTTAAGGTGAAGTGAAACTGTCCGCAACTTTGACACATCACTCCTGATCATCTAAGAATTGTCCTGACACATTCAAGATTTGGATTTTTGGACAACATTTTTTAACTCAGCCCAGACCAGAACGAAAATGGCGTCGAGCTCTCATATTTCGATCAATATACAATTATAGAAAGGCTCTGATATGAGAATCGAAAGGGTCAGGATAATCTTACGACAATTTAGAACACTGGTAATCGATAAACTCGCATTTGAACGGGATAAAGGCGAAGAAAGTGTTTTATGCGCTTCTATGCCGACACGATGGGAATACGAGGATCGCGGAGTGAAAATTTAATTGATCTAGAAATCACAGATGGCGCAGAGGGTCCCTCTCCAGTCAATTAGGGCCTCAGAAAGCATGAATCCAGAAGATTTCTGGAGTTTTACTTCGATTTCTTTATAATTATTGTACGAAAACGACAGGTGGTGTATGCCATTTAGTGCAATGCCCAATATAATTCGACCCAGCTGTCAATATAAAAACGAACGTCGGCAACGTAGGCATTTAGAAAAATCTTCTTTATAGACGTTGACCAAGTTCCTCGACGTGTTTCACTTCACCTTAATCCCTACGTTGCAGATTTTTAAGTGACTATCGGTGCCTTACTCGGACTCTCTGGAAGACCTCTTCCTTCTCTGCCTTGCTGCAGAAACTCGTCTCGCACTTGGTCTCCGTCTTGATGTCGCTATTACTCACTAGGCCAGCGAGACTCGCCAAAGTCGAGCTGGTAGGTTTACCGACCGATGCCAAGGAGCCTCTGTTGCCACTGAGCGATCCAGTGTTCACTCTGCCAAGAGAGCCACGTCCAGTCGACCCGCCGATCTGGCACCCGGAGTCCATTGACTGAGACCCGGATGTGTTATGACCTGACTGACTGTAACCTGAATTAACGAAACTAGTTACATACGCGGTACATACGAATGTAAATCCATAATACATCTCAATGTCATTTGTCTCAGGTACCAGAGTGCACGTTGTACGTTGTCATGGCATATACACCGTCATTTGAAAATCTCCCATCGTCTTGCAAACCCGTGCCTCCAGAGGAACAGCCTTGGCCACATCTCCTTCGTATCCTGAAGTTAGAATAACACCAACGATTGTCATGTTTCGGATGGATAGTCAGGGCTCGATGTCTTCCCAAATAATCAGGACCTCTTACCTTCGCCAGAGTTTAAGCACGTTACTCTTGATCGCACCAAGACTGAGTGGCCCTCCGATGATCGAAGAAAGTTGTTCGTTGGTCTCCGCGTAGCTGGTCATCAAGGGGGATACGTAGATCGGATACCCGATCGGTTGATCACAGGAACTATTAATTATATTACGAAGCGCCTGCTTCGCATTTTGTATCGAGCCGCGTTCTGGATTCCGGTTTCTCAGGTAAACCAGCTCTTGCTGTTGCCCAGCCCAAAGTCCACGGACGCACTCTCGATTCATCTTGATCACCCGGAAGCTCAGATACCGTTTATTCAACATTATCACTTTATACTCGTCAATCCCCTCGTCCAGAACGTGCCTGAAATTTTAGAGGACACGTCAGGCAGTGAATACGTTAAGGTAAAGTGAAACCCCCTTCAAATCAGTCGATTCGAATACAACACTTTTTTTTTTAAATATTAGACCAAACTGTTTGACACATCATTCCTGATCATCTAAGAATTGTCCTGACACATTCAAAATTTGGATTTTTGGAAAAAATACTTGAACTTACCCCAGACCAAACCAAAATGGCGTCGAGCTCTCATATTTCAATCAATATACAATTATCGAAGACTCTGATATGAGAAACGAAAGGGTCAGGATAATCTTACGACAATTTAGAACACTCTGGTAATTGATAAACTCGCATTTGAACGGGATAAAGGCGAAGAAAGTGTTTTTTGCGCTTCTATGCCGAAAGGATGGTAATACAAGGTCTTGGAGTGAAAATTTAATTGACCTGGAAGCCACAGATGGCGCAGGGGGGCCCTCTGCAGTCAATTAGGGCCCCAGATTTCTTTAAAATTAATGCACGAAAACGACAGGTGGAGTATGCCATTTAGGTCAATACCGAATATAATTCGACACAGCTGTCAATATAAAAACGAATATCGGCAACGTAGGTATTTAGAAAAATCTTCTTTATAGACGTCGGTCAAGTTCCTCGACGTGTTTCACTTCACCTTAATGCCAAGTTTAATATAATGTTTCTAAGTGTATAGACAATTGTTATATCTCAAAAGAAGTTATCGCCCTACCTGAGTGCCAAAAGACTAGGTGCGCCGCCAAGGACAGCGTTTCGCCACAATGGATCCGCCTCGTGGCTGATAACGAGGTTCCTATCGTGGCTGTTTATGGCCTCGTAGAGAGCAGTTGGTTTCTCGTATTGCTCAGGACTCATGAAATGATCCTGGTGTAATTTTAAGGCCATTCTAACACCCTTTGCGACGACGCCTCGTAGGAGATCTACATCGTGCAGGACCCACTCGTCTCGTACCGATGTGATGCGAAAGTCGCCTGATAAATAATGTAAATGTCCATTATTCCATAACTTCTTCCTGTTCTTAAAGTTGTCTCTACTCTTACGTTTACAAATCTTTCCTTTTTTACGTACCTTTGAAGAGTGCATGCAGCCCGTAAAGAAAAAACTCGACGCTGGAGACGGTGTTATGGGAGGCTGCACCCAAGACACGTCTTCCGAGCAGACTGAGAGCCAGACATAGTGACACCAAACACGAATCGCGCGATCGCTCTAACGACTGCAACAATCATTGAGGATAAACTCTAGAATAATTCATCACTTATCAATATACGTTGATTAAATTTAAGATGATATGAAAGGCGCTATGAAATTTAATCGAGGCCAATAAATTAAAATTCATCTACACCCCTTTTGGTGGTAACGCCATTTTGAATACTCAAGAGTACTCATAGCCACTGAACACTTTTATATAACTGTTAGGTAAATGTTACGTTTTCGAAGCTAACGCGTTATGTACGACAATTTTGTTTTTTTAAACGGAAGACTATATTTTTTATAGCAAAATATGGTAGAGTATCGAATTCTGAATTAAAAAGTATTGACCTTTATTAGCCCTAAACCTAATAGCTAACGAGTAATTTCACTTTATTATTTGAAAACTTTCTCTCCAAGTTCCGCAGGACAGCGATGTCTTGCGGATATCTGTGAGATAAGGTTGAATCTCCAACTTGATATTATGTGAAGAGAATATTTAAGTAATAAAGTGTAATTACTCGTTAGCAATTAGGTTTAGGGCTAATAAGGTCAATACTTTCTTACGGAGTTCTTCTGTAATTCTGAGTTAAAAAGTATTGATCTTTATTAGCCCTAAACCTAATAGCTAACGAGTAATTTCACTTTATTACTTGAAAACTTTCTCTCCAGGTCCGCAGGACATCGCTGTCCTGCGGAAATCTGTGATAAGGTTGAATCTCCAACTTGATATTATGTGAAGAGAATTTTTAAGTAATAAAGTGTAATTACTCGTTAGCAATTAGGTTTAGGGCTAATAAAGGTCAATTCTTTTTTACTCAGAATTCGAAACTCTACCATATTTTGCTATGAAAAATATAGCGTTCCGTTTAAAAAAACAAAGTAGTCCCTCAAATCTTCGAAACGCCTCGACCTATAAAAAAAAACTGATGCGCTACATAGTACACCCTTTAAAACCATGTAACTTTTGTATATAACATTTTTTCGTGCAACGCATACTTTGGAAGTTATAACGATGCACACGTTGCGTGGACCACCCGGTATATATGACTCTTTCATATCACCTTAAGGGGATGTGAAAGTGGCATCCGAAAGCTCAATCGTTCATAAAACTTTTCCACGAACTGGGTGTCTCGAATCGTTTCATACTTTAAAACGTGAATATAGAGACGCTAAGGTAGGTCCTGAAACTCGCGAAATTTCATTTTTTACAAACTATTTTTAAAATACCTATGAACAAATTTGAAAATAATTGAAATTTCATAAGTTTCAGGACCTTCCTTATAGTCTTCCTATTCACGTTGTAAAGTTTCAAACTATTCAATAAACCGAGTTGGGAGAAAAGTTTTATAAACAAAATCTCTTCGATGCCACTTTCCCATCACCTTAAAACTTCAACTTTGTGTAAAGTGGAGATAGGTGGAACATCGAAGACCCTCTTATACATTTTCATCCTAAACGTATGCATGGATGTTCCGAAGAAAGTTATGTCACCTTGTCTTGCTTGGCTGCGCAGAGTTTGATCCAGTCGAGGTATACGTTGCAGAAACTACTCCTCGTGATACCACTGGCACGGAAATCGAAGTCCTCGTCGATATTCATATTGAATACTGGGTCGAGATCGACGAAGTTCCTCTCGAGGGTCGGCTTGAGGGCTTCGACGATTTCCGGGCTCTCCAGCCACTGGGTGAGCTTAGGCGACCTCACCGCGTAGAAGACGATGCTCTTGACGTAGTAGGTAACGAGGACCTTGCGAAAATCGAAGACCTGAAGCATAGATCCCGCCGAATTGTCGGATATCGAGTAGCCCTCGAGTACGTACTTGGCGCTGGCGACTTCCCAGGCGAGCCAGCGCTGGCTAAACGCCGCGTTCACGCTAAGTACGTTTGAAAAATGGCCCATCTCGCAGCAACAACAGTTGTCGTTGTCCTCGATACCTTCGGATATCGCCTCGACCTGGAAAACGGATTATTACGTTAATAATTGAATCCTAACTAGTACCACGAGTGTTACCAGGATATTTAAGCTCAAGGTATAGCAGCTCCGTAGCACACTGATATCCAGAAGATATAATAGTAAAATTCGCTTAAGGTGATGTGAAACCCCCTTCAAATCAGTCGATTCGAATACAACACTTTTTTTTAAGGGTATTGGACCAAAATGCCCGGAACTTTGACACGTGACTCGTGATCATCTAAGAATTGCCCTGACACATTCAAAATTTGGATTTATGGACATTTTTTAACTTAGCCCACACCAGAACCAATATGGCGTCGAGCTCTCATGTTTCGATCAATGTACAATTATCGAAGGCTCTGATATGAGAAACGAAAGGGTCGGGATAATCTTACGACAATTTAGAACACTTTGGTAATCGATAAACTCGCATTTGAACGGGATAAAGGCGAAGAAAGTGTTTTATGCGCTTCTATGCCGAAACGATGGGAATACGAGGTCTCGGAGTGAAAATTTAATTGATCTAGAAATCACAGATGGCGCAGAGGGTCCTTCTCCAGTCATCTAGGGCCCCAGAAAGCATGAATCCAGAGGATTTCTGGAGTTTTACTTCGATTTCTTTATAATTATTATACGAAAACGACAGGTGGTGTATGCCATTTAGTGCAATGCCCAATATAATTCGACCCAGCTGTCAATATAAAAACGAACGTTGGAAACGGAGGTATATAGAAAAATCTTCTTTATCGACGTCGATCAAGTTCCTCGACGTGTTTCACTTCACCTTAACGTAAATAAATGTAATATAGAGGAGAATTACCTCTCTTTGTTGGCAGTAAGTCCCTCGAAACTCAAGGCCTCTCAGCTGGAAAGTTACCAGACCATTTCCCAGCTGAATGACATGTATCAAACAGTTCAGGTAGTCGGAGGCAAGAAGGAAACAGTCACCCTGGGCTACGTTACCCCATCGTCCAAGAGCTAAGTCACCATAGAGACTGTGCTGTAGGGATCTGGTTAGCTGCTCGTAAAATATCGAGTTCAAGTTGTTGTCGTCAGCTCCCAGGTTACGTTCCAAGTGCGAAGACATCCTGGTGTTGGAGTGGTCGACCCTCCTGGTCTTGTAATCTCTTTCCCAGAACTTGACGGGTCTTACGTAGGAGGAGATGAAGATGGCACTGCCCAGGAGAGGGTTCAGAGGAGTACTGAGGATGGCCGAGATACCTGCCTGAAGGAAGAGCATCGCAGAGTGCGGCACCGAGAACGGCTGAGCAAATGCATGGAAAGCACTGCCCCAAGTTATTTGCCAGGGTGCTATGTACGTGACAACAAACCGTATCTTCAGCAACAACTCGTAGATCTTAGCGAAAGCGATTCCTGTCACATAATAGTCCACCAGAAAGGTCTCGGTTAACTCGTGGTAATCCAGCTTGAAGAAGAGGACCGCGAAGATGAGCACCAGGTAGCTCGCCGTGGGGTCGGAGTACGTAGAACGAAGAGATTTAAGTCCACAGACTACGATGATCAGTGCTCCGACCGCCTCTCCGAATTTGGCAACAATCTTCGACGAGCACTCCGTCAGAGCCCCCAAGAACACTACAGGGTAAAGGATATTTCTCTCTAGGAAGCACAAGCACACGTAGACTTTCTCGAACCACATGATCCTGACGGGTTCCTTGACTTCGAACTGCGCGTGTTCGTGGCTCCGCAGCACAGGCCTCGCTAAACAGAGCCAAGGCAACTGTTTCCGCAATTGGGGTAGAATGTAATGTAAGAGAAATCCAAGGCAACTTGCGATGCCACAAAGAACAGGATTGAGCTCCGGTTGCAGTGCCGTAAACACCGTAGAACAATGGATGGCAAATGACAAAGTCCCTATTACGGTGCAGACTATTAAGTCGTTCTTCAATCGGGCTTTGACCGTGGCCCTCAGCTTCTGCGGCAAGGGGTCTATCAGCTCCGAATCGGAAATCTGTTCGCCCACGACTATCTTGACGTCCTTCTTCCTTCCCGAGGTCTTAGTCTTGTTCTCCTTGTACGAAGTAATCACGTTAGCCTCCGTTCCTGCAGTGTTTTCAATAATCTTCGCCTCCTTCTCTTCGAGGTACATCTCAGGGGGCCAGAGATTAGTCTTGACGATGTCCCAGATGACGCTCGGGTCGGAGGACAGCCTGCTGAGGTGGTACGAAATGGCCACGAGGAGGCCTGCGAAGATGGAGAACATGATGTGCTGGGAAGACTTTGGCTCGGTCAGGGCACCGTATGCTAATCCGTAAAGTATGAACACAGTGATAACGCTGCGCCCCAGGCAGTATATCGAAGACACCAGGCTCGTCGCCGCAGTCCCACCGAACAAGTGGATGTCCAAGTGTTCGCAGAGATACATCAGGAAGGTGTTTATCTGCGGGAAGAGTCCCAGGGAGAACACTAAGGGGAAACACAGGAGGAAAATTAAAAGGACGTTACGTGTCTGCAGGATAACGTCGTAATCCAGGACGCGCATGCCGTAGATCCGGAACTCGGAGCTCTCAAAGTTCCTCAAGACCCCGTCGAGGGTAAGAATAAGTCCGGCACAGAGAATGTAATACACGGGTCTGGAATACGCGATTATGCGATTGAACCCATGAGTGGGCGAAGCCGCGTCGGGCTGGACCGACTTGAGCAAGGAGTACTGACAGCCCGCGGTTACGAAGCAAAAAATGAACGCGAAGATGTCCCTGTAGAATCCCTGCTGAAGCAGCACGAGTCCCAATCCAGCGACTACCACGGCGAGGATCGTCGACGCGATCGTCTCGAGGATGGTCAAATTGCGATCCAGCAGGGCTAGGAGAGCCAGCCGATCGAAACGGATCTTCAGGTGCGGGAACTTTCCAATCTTCCACTTGTAATAGTGCCTCGTAGCCTTGGATTTGGCCTCGCCGGCGCCATCGATTCCGTCGATGAACCTGTTCCAGGAGTGACTGGTATTCATCTCTCCGGCCTGGCCCGAAGGAGGCACGATCTCCGGGGTCTGGCAGCTCGAGTCCGGAGGATAGGGACTCAGGGTGAAGTTATCCAGCAGATTTTGCAGCTTCGCGTTCGGATCCGGCATCGAGTCCGCGAGGACGTGGTGATAAGGATCCCTTTCCGCGGTCTCCGGCGGACACTGGCAAGAGCCGCGAGGTTCGGCGGATGCCAGGTTAGACGATGCAGCAGCCTGCGTCTCGGCTTGGTCCCCGAAAAGATCCGACGAAGCCGGCGGCGTGTCTATCACCACGGTCAATCCCGCCGAGTTAAGCGACAAGCTGCTGCAGCTGTTGCTCAGCCATTCCATCAGCTTCCAGTTGGTGTCCTGGTGCCGATTGTAATTCAATTCCCTGCACAGCACCGCATTCAGATACGAGCTACGATAATTTAGGGGTATCTGAGGCCCCGTGGCGACGCCCGTGCCTTTCTCGTCGAAGGTGTACGTCATCCATCGATTGTTCTCGTCCCTGAAGAAGTGCACGGCCCCTTCGGAGGTGTCGTTATGGTTAGTCGCCAAGTGGCAGTCGTTGTTAGACATCATGTTGAGCAATGCGGTTCCCTTCCGGGTTCGGCAAGTCCTCGTGGGTAGCTTGGGGCTCCGTTTTCGCGAAATCGTCTCGTACATGCGGTTTAATTCAAGGTCGAGCGGAATCCGTGACCGACCGTGGAAATCGGAGCCGGAATTGAGTAGAGCCGCTAGAAGAGGCGGTGCCGGATTAGGCAGGAGCGTGCTCAGCTCGTTATTCGAGCCGGTACCTTGTTTGAAATGTCGTTTCTTCCTTTGCATCTCTTTCCTCACTTCCCTGAGCTTCGGCCTGGGCACTTCGGCCGTGGAGACCCCGTCTCCGCTGCTTTCGCTGGCCACCTTCGGACGACTCTGCTTCGGTATCGCACCTTGATAACGCTTGTAATCGATCCCATGCTGAGGAATCAATTTTCGCTTCACCTCGTTCTCCATACTCAGCGTCGTTGTGCTCGACGAGCCGGAATCGGGCTCTTTCGAGTGAAGATCTGCAAACCACGAGCGAACATTGACTTCCGAAAGACTCGATCGCGCTGAATTAAGAACACCTGCTTGCGCTTTAAACTCTTCTAAAGTAACAGACGAGATTAATTAAAGCATTCATAAACATTGTTAACTCACAGTCGGTACTAGCTGTTTGTAGGCTCTCCGAAGTATCCGTATCATCTGACCGAGCGAAAGTCCAAAATACTATTGGCGTAAATTAAGAAAAAGAGAAAACGTAGCTCGAGTAAATTGAGATTCATCATTGCACGTAAATGCTGGCGTGACGAGACGCAAGGGACACAACCGGAAAACTATTAATTATGAACCATCGGGCAAGGAATAGTACGGATGACACGTACACTTCAAGCTATGCGTAAGGAAAACTTTAAAGGTGTTCGTTATCGATGCTCAAACGTTACTTCTGATATTGAAGCTTATAAAATGCGCTTTAATAGAGAATATACTTACTCTTGTTCGGCCAAGGTTCAGGTGCGTACTCGTTGTCTTCGAAGAGCCAATCTATGCCAACGACGCTTCCAGAGTTTGTTGGCTCGTCCACGTTTTTTAACTTGCTCTGATGCTGCTTATCCATTCGTTTCTCTCCGTCGGATAATTCCCGACTACTCTGACTAGCATTGCTGAATCTTCTTCTACTGCAAGACTTCGGTTCATAGAGCAGAGCATCTCTAGAATTCGCAGAATCATTATCGATCACAGCCTCTCCGTTGTATCTGGGGGAAATAACACACCTTACCGTTAGATTATTTACCTACGTGTAAACACTTTCTAATGTTTAAAACAAATTTGTGCACTGCTTCTTCTAATTAACTTGCAACGATGAGGTATATGTCACCTTAAGTATCTGTCTTCGAACCCTCCAGTACTAAGACTTCTATCACGATTGGAGTTGACGTTAGGGTCCTCGGTGGTAGTTCTAGCAAGCAGTGGACTGTAAGAGTCCCGTAAACTGTAACCACCCGAGCTTTCATTAGCAAACTGTTCGTCGCTTTGTTCTGCTATTGGATGTACAATCTCAGATCCGTAACTGAGGTAAGGCAATAACTGCAATTGATTGCGCTTTAAAGTATTCTGTGGCAAACCCTACAAAATATATTATTCCTGCATAAATGATATTACGATGTTAAGAGGCGGTGGAATGTCGAGCATAGAGCTACTATTAAGTACCTTTTTTGTATTTATCGTTTCCAAACTTTGTGGGTGAAGAGGTAAATTATTATCATCTGTTGCATTGGTATTTTTACTTGTAGCGCCAATAGTCTCCAGACTTTGGGGATGAACTAGAGGATGATATGGCTTCTTAGAAATTACCTTAAAAATATAAAATCGATTTTTAAATAATGCACTTGCAATATAATACCAAAGTAATATACGTTCCTAGACAATTTACCTCTAATGATTGAGGGTGAGATGGGATTTTATTCTTATCTGCATCTTCCTTTTTAGAAATAATTTCAAGGCTCTGAGGATGGTCGATTGTCATATGGGCCTCCATAGGAATTGAATTGGAATTTAATCTTCTGACACTTTGATTGGATTTCCAGTATGGATAATCGTCCCCGTGTTGCTCTAGTTCCAATGAGCTCGTTTGTTTTATCTGACTTTCCGACCCGGTCTTTCCAAGACCGCTTTGTTTTGAGTGTCGACTTCGGGAATCTTCCGAAGCATGGCGACATAATTTTCTAGGTCCTTGTCTATCTTCTTCCGCTATTGCCACGCATTTGTGCCGTTTTAATCGTCTTTCTACAATCATATTACTCACAGTTTTTATCTCTCACCTACCATTATATGAATCACTACCTGCGACTAATCTATATCTCGACGATTATTACCGTTTAGTTTACTTCTTAAACGTGACTCCAAATCCCGAGAAAATATTAATTGTGCTTCGTTCACATTCATACGAGTGACTGTTGGTTTATTCAGCTGCTGTGCTTCTTCCGAACTCTCCGAACTATTCTTACGATGTATTTCCACTTTTAAATCTATAGTTGAACTTGGTTTATCCTGATTGTAATCTGAAGTTATACTATCCGCATCTGGATTTTGAACATTCTGCTCAATGTAAGAATTACGGGATGAACATTCCACAGGTGGTGTCCCAGTTTTTCCTGACATCCAAAAAAAAAAGAGCAATATGAAGAAGTAGCACAATCATTTATAACATTATTCTTAAGTATAATCTGAAATCTACAGATCTCAAGGTAATATCATTAGGTACAGTAGATTGTCAATATCCATTACATAATATATCTTTTATAGTGCTTCCTACACTTAAAACTTAAAGCAATAAACAGCGTATATACTGCATTCTAAGAGGCAGCTTTTTACCCCTTTGATAACCACACGAAATCTCATTCACGAAGGCCATCTTAAAGTTTACGTTCCAGTAAAAACTTTATTGAATACCATTTAAAACCTGAAGCTCTATACCAAGATCCACTTGATCCTGCACAGGTTCCAGTCTCCTGACACGCGCAGAATACGATCTCTTTTCATTTTCAAACTTCAGTTGATGTATATTTAGTCCTGGTTCCTCTAAACATTCGGTCGTATCGTACACGGAATGCAATGCATGATTCACGCACTTTATTGTTCCAAAGAGAGCCACGATAGACGAGCAATAGGCAAGCCATACATAGAGTGTAGGTGGAAAATACTGGAAATTAAAATAAAGCATAAGGATATCGGTAACATTTCCTCCATTTCTTGAATGCCATCCATGATATTCTACGCTATATGATATGCTTCTTAATTAGGCTCTAATCGATCCTAATCAACCTTCGCAGTGGAAGGTGGGAAGTAAACATTCGGCACAAAAATTGCAAATACTTTCAAATCTTAATCTCTCTACCCTGTACTCAATTAGTACGTATCGAGCTGAAGATTTAGGTAAAATGACAACTCACGAGGTATATAGTGAATGGCAGGCAAAGCAGGAAAAGCCATACGTAAAGGTGAAAGGTATTTGAAAAAATATCAAGGTGCGGGTCGTAAAACCAGCCTCCTGTCAGGCTCGCCCAGACACCTTGCCTCAGGATTTCCAACGTTTGCGAACCCATGCCAATAGCGGAGGTGCTTCTTCACCATCTTCCCATCGTTTCTCGAGCTATCTATCACTCGTATTTTGTCCCCTTCTGCCAAAAAGTCATACGGAAAGCCGTGAAACGAAACATTTCACTCCAGTCAGTTATAATCAATGGATCACCCGCACACGACTCAACGGCTTCGCGGCCATCATTGACTCCAGATGATCACGGCACAAACTATGCACTGACCATTATGAACATCAGAGATGAGTTGGGAGATTGCTCACGGGCAGGGTCGCGTGATTGTTATGTGCTGTTCTCCGGTGGAGAACGCGGGCGGCTAATGCATTTACCACCAGTTACCTACCCTTTAGTGGCGGCGCAACTTGTTTCTGGTGGGGGTTCGCACACTCGCGATCACGGTTAGGTAATTTCATTATTTTCGAGGTTTTTGACGTATATTACGTAAATCAAGTAGTTTACCGGAGAAAACGTGGAAAACCAGGAGAAAACGTATCAAATATGGCGGACAAGACAGACGTAGGGCATGTAAAGTTCTAAATCCAGTAAGTTACGTCAGAAACAAAGAGAAATTCCCGGTAATTTATCGGTAATTTCTCCAAAGCCTTTTTCATCGAGAAATTATGAGAATTTGAATTTTTCAACAGAGCGAACGAGGGTTTCGATTAGCTATAGAGAAAGATCGTAGAGGGGAATTTCCGTTGTACGTTCTCCGTAGCCAATCAAAACCTTCCATTCGCTTCGTCGCAGAATGAAATATTAGTTCATTTGAAACAAATCGCATGGAATTTTCCGTGAAGTTATAAATACGTGAATATTTTTAACTGGAGGTAAATACGACCCTGTAATCAATATTTTCTAATAGTTATTATTACTCTTTAGCTTGAACTTTGAAGTTGATTGAAAAAAAAAACGTTATTTAAACGAAGAAACCTAAAGTATAAATAACAAAATTAACGTTCTCTTAAATTCTCAATGTTCCCGGTAACTTACGGTATGTTTCACAGTTACCTTCTCCAATTTAATGTTACCGAGAATTTTCGAACTCTAATTATACGTTGTAATATACGTGTATAAAACCACGTATATTACTTGACGTATTATACTTACCGAACCCCGATTTCGCTTAGAAATTTATGCCGAACTAGTTCACATGAATGGTCTCGCATTTTCACCATCAAAAACGTTCCGTAATACCGTCAGTTACTCATTTTTCACATTTTCGCTTAATTTGATTTATGTAATAGACCCCCTTGCGTCTAGGACCACACGTGACGTCTATTCAAGATGGAGGAATGTAGTTCTGCGCAGAGACGAGAATTGGTTCGAAGTTGGTATACCTTGTCCATTTTGCCGTGGAAAAACGGTATAAAGGACGTCTTGAATTCATCGGTAAGTGGTCGTATTAGGCCGTACCGACTTGATGAGATGGATCTTAATTAGATCGCGCGACTGTAAAATTGAACGATGAAGCGTATCGGCGAATTCTACGTGCCGAGACGAAGAAGGTGCACGGTTTAATGCATCGTTTTTGTATGTTTTGCACGAGCAATCTCGTGGCACAGCCTAGAATACAGAATACAGCATAATGGCAGCTTTGAAGACAGGTGGGCAAAATGCTCGCAAGAAAGTTCAGGTAAGGTCAATCATTCATAAAATTATTGAATGTCTGCCTTGTACAATCTTTCAAAAAGTTGTCTTCATCTTCGACGCTGGAAATCGTTATCATTGGCGCCTGATAATGGATATGCCACTTTGCCAAGGATTCATTGGCACCTTGTATCCCATTTAAATTAAATAATTTGAATAATTAGTACACTCTTTTACTATTAGAAATATTCTAAAAGAATGCCAAATACAGGTTAGTACCAGGTTTTTTAAAAAACGGTGAAGCTTGTGAATGTGAAACAAGTTTTAAATGTAGAAATTATAGATAAGATGCTTAAAGGTAATTGTTTATGAGGTAACGAAAGTACAGCATATAAATTAATAATTGTCATTACATCGTTAAGGTGTCCATGGTGATTAGAGACGAAGTCGAAAGAAGACATAGAGCAGGAGTGAATTCTTTACAATATGATCCAGTTTTGCATAGATTGTATTCCGCTGGCAGAGACAGTATAATTAGGATATGGAATTGTAAAAACATGAAGGATCCATGTATTCAGTCTATGGAACATCACACGGATTGGGTCAATGATATCGTTCTTTGCTGTGGTGGGAAGAATGGTAAGTCCTTCCAATGGTAGAGTATTAGATTTTTAATGAGAAGCATGAACTTATCGGGCGATCAAGATGATTACTGGTAACTGGCAATGGCATTGCGATATTATGCCTGTTATTTATTTTGAGAGTAAAGTACTAACTAGTATATTAATTTGTGAGGAGATATTATGTGACTCTGTGGTACAAATTTATTTTTGCTCATTGCAGTCATATCGGCTAGTTCGGACACTACGGTGAAAGTTTGGAATGCCCATAAAGGCTTCTGTATGTCTACACTGAGAACACATAGAGATTATGTGAAGGCATTAGCATATGCCAAGGACAGAGAACAAGTTGCCAGTGCCGGTCTGGATCGAGCAATATTTCTTTGGGATGTCAACACGTTAACGGCTCTGACAGCGAGTAATAATACAGTAACAAGTAAGACAGTTTTACGTTTCAAATACTAATTTGTATCCAAGGGATGAAATAATACATAGTTTAATTGCAGCTTCTTCTCTTACGGGAAACAAGGATTCGATATACAGTATGGCAATGAATCCACCTGGGACAATACTTGTGAGTGGTAGTACTGAAAAAGTATTACGGGTCTGGGATCCTCGGTCTAATACAAAACTCATGAAACTAAAAGGCCATGCCGATAATATTAAGGCTTTAGTACTAAGTAGAGACGGATCGCAGTGTTTGTCAGCTAGTTCCGATGGCACCATCAAGCTCTGGTCAATGGGCCAACAGTGGTGTATACAAACCATTAGAGTTCATACCGAGGGAGTTTGGGCATTATTGGTAATTAGAGACATTGCAAACAATGAAAAAAGGTTTTGATTTTTTAAATTATTTATAATTATTATTTTAGGCAACTGACACCTTTAGTCATGTCATATCAGGTGGTAGGGACAAAAGAGTGATTATGACTGAATTAAGAAATCCTGACCATTATACCGTGATCTGTGAAGAGAAAGCGCCAATATTGAAAATGGCTATGACTCCTGATCAGTCCAGTATTTGGGTGGCAACTAGTGAATCTACCATTAACAATTGGGTAATTATTTTATCTCTGATAACAAGAGACCTGAAGCAAGAAGTAACTAATGGTCCTGCTGTTCTCACAGACCATTAGTCAAAAGGATTGGCAATGCGGAGACTATTCTGTCGATTCTGTTACTGGTGGAGTTGCAAATATGACACCACGAAACACAGAGCCAGCACAGAGAATACTCGGAGGACCGGCAATAAGACATTGTCATGTCTTAAATGACAGGCGGCATGTATTAACCAAAGATACAGAAGACAACGTTGCACTTTACGACGTATTGAAAGCTTGTAAAGTGGAAGATCTTGGTCCTGTGGATTTTGATCAAGAAGTTAAGAAGAGAAATAAGATGGTATATGTTCCAAATTGGTTTAATGTGGATCTGAAAACAGGGGTCAGTATTTTTCAAGGTATTGATTGTAAATACTTCATCTTTTAGTAGTTGCACTTAATATTATTCTAATAATTTCAGATGCTGACTATACATTTAGGTCAAGACGAAAATGATTGCTTTTCGGCGTGGGTATCGGGAAAAGAAGCTGGTTTGGTAGATGACAATGGAGTAGATGAGAAAGGTACTGCATATTACTAACTTTCCTATGCACAAATTATGTAATTTAGATAAATTCACATCTGACATTGGTTTTTCAGTTAATTATGGTAATCTGTTATTGCAAGCCCTATTAGAAAAGTGGTGGAAGCCAGGAGGTATTAGTGATCTCGAGGGCAGTGGAAATAATGGAGAGGATGCAAATAGCATCAGAGAAGGGAAGAAGTATTTTTCCGTACCTGGTCATACCCCTGTTATTTTTAGGTAAGTCATTGATTTGATTTAATAAATAGTTTATGAATTTAATACAGTTACAATTAAATGTAACTTAGTTCAGTCGTGATAGTCATATCAGTGTCTACATATTTTATTCATAATTAAATTAGTTGGTGGGAACGTATTTTAAAGTATCGAGACTACGAGTGTTTTAATAATTATTTATTAATATCATATGTTATACAGTGAGGTTGGTGGCAGAACATTATACAGGTTGTTAGTTCGAGATGCAGCTGGCGAGACCGAACGTGTACTCTTAAACGAAACTGTTCCATCGTGGGTTGTAGACATCGTAGTGGATAAAAATTTACCTAAATTTATTAGAATACCATTCTTTCTCCTGCCACACTCTTCAACGGGTGTAAAGAGTTTAAAGAAGTGAGTGATATTGAATTGTTTTTCTATTTCAAATCTCCATAATACTTCAAACTCATCCATTTATTGCAGAGATCGACTTATAGCGAATGACTTTATTCAAGTGCGTAAAGTAGCTGAACATGTGTACGATAAGGTTCTTGGAGCTGGAAGTGATTCCGGTTCAGTAGCAGGAGGTGGTAACACAGTATCCGGTGGATCTCCTGCTGGTGAACGAACGAATAACGATTCGAACGCTGATAACTCTTCTTTGGCCGAAGAAAAAGTTGAGCTGTTGTGCAACGATCAGGTGTTGGATCCTTCCATGGATCTAAGAACGGTAACTTACATTCTCGTTACAGATATAAGGCACTTGGTATTTACATAGATTCCTGGCATCGACATTTAATCCTCTATTTTTTATTTAAAATCTTATAGGTGAAACACTTTATTTGGAAGAGTTCCGTCGATTTAACGCTTCACTATCGACCAATCAAATAGTTAGGATTCAGATTAGTGAATCGTGGTCCTCCGAAGTGTGCCTGGTTTTGCACTGCGACGAAGTAATCCGTGAGTTGGCCTGCTTTTTCTTCTGCTCGCCGAGCTATCAAGAGATTTGACGTACGGCGCGCTTTGCTCTTGCACTGCATACAACCAAAAACGAGTGGAGGCCCCTCGTCAAATACCTATTTTCGAATGTGTGATTTGTCAGAGGAAAGCACGGCAAAGGCAACCAAAACATGTTGGAGCGCTCGTAACTCAAGATAAATTAATCGAAAATTGAAAAAAAAAAAAGGAATCGAATATTGGCAAATGATAGAATGTGTCAAAGAACACACGTTCTACAGCCAGTTGTCACCTTCATCAAAGAAACATAACCATTGCAGTTAACATAGTACCTTAACGCGAAAGATGCATAACGAGTGGACTGTAAATAGTGCACAGTTATTTTTATTTGCCTATCATCCGTTTCTTGTCTTCCGACATTCAGAAACATCATTGTACGCGAAGTGAGAAGTACAAATACCACCGAGCATCCTATTCTGGTCTAGCGGTAATGTGCGGAGAAACTTTTGTTGCTTTCTGTGGTAGGGAGTTCTGATTACGCTTATTAGCTGACATCAAGTTAGGGCTCGAAATGGACTCCCGTCGTATCATATTTTCGGCGCGATCTTTGACTGTGCACTTGTCTTGTTACGCCGTGTACAAGCTCAGGCGAGGAATCTAAGAGAGAATGCGAATGATGTCAATTTATCTTTAATCAAACTGTACTATGAGAGCCAAATTAAGAGTAATCGTTTTCCTACCGGAAACCTTTGTAGGAAATGTAAGCAAGGACCTACATGTCTGTATTGGTGAGGACAAACTCAGTGTGTTGTATAAAGACGGTTCTCCAGAAGCGTTGTTACCAGATTTTTGCGAACTAACTGGAATCTCAAATATCTTAAATATCTGGTCATAAGCGGAATTCAAGAGTAATTATACTAAACGTGTTACAGATTCAATGAGATTTCACCTTAAGAGCTACAGGGGATACAGGTGACTAGATAAAGTTACGATAGTATATCTTATTCATTAGAGCCTATTATGTGTAAATATTGAAAACGGAGTACTCGTTGCTGAAGTAGATCATACATTTCCTTCCTATCATCAGACTTTTATCACTCGAGTTACGAAACGATTCATAACGCGACCGAGGTATCTTAACACATTCGCGACCGCTGACGTGAATTCACGTCTTTTCAAGTTCTACTCCTGGTTGCCGCTGACGTGAATTCACGTCATTTTAAATTCTACTCCTAATTGCCGCTGACGTGAATTCACGTCATTTTAAATTCTACTCCTGATTGCCGCTGACGTGAATTCACGTCATTTTAAATTCTACTCCTGATTGCCGCTGACGTGAATTCACGTCCATTACGATACACGATACAAGTTTGCGGCAACCAGTTTCAGAATTTCATTATTTTCCCCGGTACTAAGTATTTGAAACGGAAAAAGAATTTTGCTAGTCGCGAATGTGTTAACATCGGTATCTTCAATATCGCGACTAGAATGCAAACGAATCACGTTCGATGGCTTAGAGAAAGAGTTAATTATTTTTTAGGGACTTTTTGGTTATTAGTAACCCAATATTAAGAGTTATTAAGAAGCTCGAAAGTAATTGTCGATTCTATGAGAATAGCTACCAAAAGTGAGGATATTTATTATCAGTTAAGTTTGACTTATTCTTAGGTTTATGTGTGTATGTCAGTATCACGGCGTTGGATGTACGAAACTTTATTATACGAAGCTACTGTATGATATTTCTTTCCTGCTGTTTGAAAATCATTTGTCCGTGGGATTGTTGCGAAATGAAATGCTAGACGTGTACTGGTAGCGTTAATTACAAGTTAATCGTAATCTGCCAATATACGAGAGATGATGACGTGCCTGAGCTTAGATAATAAGACATAAGAGGGCATTCCGGTTAGCTGGTACACCGGCATTCGATTACGGCTAATTCTTTTGTAATTCACGACTGCATTAAGTTGCTGTAGGTGTACATTCTATTAGCTAGAGGGTGGTCAGAACAGTGCAGTCTTCGAGGCAGGAAAATGTTTAAGAAAACTCACTCGCACGTGAACGAAGAATTCAGAAGTCTCAATAGAAGCCCAGAAGGATACGGACGTTCGATGCTGGACAAATATTAGGTTGGGGAATAAGTTCGTAGCGTTTTTATAATAAAAGTCTTTGATAAACATTGGGGAATAAGTTCGTAGCGTTTTTATAATAAAAGTCTTTGATAAACACGCTACGAACTTATTCCCCAACCTAATAGTATGTTAGCCAACGGATGGCGGCGCTGTAATCATCTCTCCATCTCTCCTAATCTTATGGCGATACATAGCGATTGCATTCTTTCTTTATCTTACACCCAATACTTTCTATATGCGTCTCTCTTCCTCCCGTATGTGAGATATTGTTGGCTAACACGTGCGATCTCTCTTTTACTCCCCACTTCTGGTTTGTTAATCAACTTTTAGAACATCAAGCGCTAACATAGGTTCTAGGCTTCTATGGGACTTCTGAATTCTTTGACGTGAGACAATAGAACAGAATATGTAATAGATAATGTGATCGGATGGGCAAAACTCACGGCGAGTGCACTGCATTTTTTACGAATCTTTTGCGAGCCTATCGTCATGGTTATTAGTTTATCTTTAACAAGCCAAATGGAGTCGCGATTCTTTACCCAAGAGCTGTACAAATGAATATCAGTGTTATACAATTCCCGTCGAATTGCTTGGTAAGTAAGCGATGAATTGCACTTGGGTTTACATTTCCGATCAACCAATTTGCTTACACCGTTCTGAAATCGAAACGGATGTTATCAATCTAAGATACAATGAGGAAGTTTAGCTGATAATAGGACTGAACAGAACTGATGTCCTTACCGTCTCCGGGAGGGAAATGTAAGAAGTGGTGCCAAATTTTGTACTAATATCATATTCCTACAGTGCTGCGGTTCTTTTAAAGAAGTTGCAATATATAAAAAGAGAAATCGGTCTTTACGAGCACCTGTTAAGGTTAATCTTGGGAAAGAGAAGGGGAAAAAAAATATATATATACAGCATTTAAATTGTTTGTGATATGTTCATTTGTATGCACGTAATGACTGCAAAGAAGCGGCTATTTTTCTCTAGAGTGAATTATAAATTAGGAAGGATGTCGTTCAGTACGTTTCGCCGGCTGCCTTTGAAAAAAAAAAAGAAAATCTCTTACGTATATTACACTCTTCACGGTTGCAGTTTATTTCAAAGCAGATCTCGTGTATTTAAAATGATATCCGTGCCACTGATACTCCACGCTATGAATTTGTTTAATCGTACATAAAAAATATACGAAGAGACAGCTGGAAAAACACGAAAAGTCCTTAACGTGAAATACTTGGCACTTTATCTAAATAAAATGAAAATGGATTGTTATGCGCTGGATATTATAAATGTCTTTTCATGTTACGAATTTCCGCATGTCTATGAAAGTCCATTAGTTCACCTTGCCTACGCGTGCGGAATGGGGCGTTGATTGTTAACACAGTGAATATGTTAAAATCCAATCTCGGTAATTTTAAGCTGATGCGCTGCGAAGGGAGTAATTATACCATAAGAGTTAATCTAGTCAAACGTTTTAGAAATTACTACACACGGTATACAGGTATTGCGAGTATTATATTTTGCGCATCTCGCAAGGTATTCAGCATCGCCTCGGTAGAATCAATTTGTTCTAGAAATGATGAGGTCTCCTAATTCATAAGCCACTCTAGTTTTGTCTTCGTATATCGTAGCTAATGGAAGAACTCGTAGTTTATTTTCAAGTGGAAAGATCCTTTGAGTAACGCGACTTAGATACTTTCATATCACAGGGAAAATATCGTCAGTCTCATCGTATTCATTACCAAATTCCATATTGTCATGATAACGTTCCGAAGTATCAATATATACTATGAGTATTGAACAAATAACATTTGAATCAAATATATAATTTAATACGCAGAAATGGCTCTTTCATTTCGTACTCCTGTTATGCTCGGCTGTATGTACTCACTGTGCAGCACACAGATAATAAGTTAATGATTTAATATATCATTTTTTAGCAACCATTTGAAGAACCTCTTCTACGGCTTCTACAAACGATGGACACAATTGCGTCGGCGGTGGTGTAATTATATTTTCGTCCCCAGGGCGATACTTTCCAGTTTGTACCAAAAATCCTTTTATTCCAACAGCTTGTGCGCCACCGATATCATCTTTGACGTCCTGTGAATTAAAATTTCTATCAAACTCAGTTTTTAAGGGGGTCGTACTATGTGTCGGGGACGAAAAATCGATTTTTTTTTTGGCTAAATTACTTCCAAATCATCCCTACAATATGTCTGTAAAAGGATTTCACCGCATTCGAAGTCGCTAAGAAGTAATGGCCCTTTAAGGTGAGTCAAAATTATCTTTGCGTAATGCGTACTTGAACTTTCAAACGCGTTTTTCTCAAAACTACATTTTTCAAATTGGCTGCTAAGTTTCAGAAGAAACTACTGAACCGATTGCGCTCAAATTTGAATGACATGTTCAGTAGACACGTGGTTACAACTGGTACCAGAATCTTAGTGATATTTATCATAGTTTTTTTAGCTCGAGCTAAATTCATCGAAAAAAATACGAAAACTTCAAATTAATTTAAAAAAAACTGGCTGAATTTTTTAATTACAAATTTGTTGACTTCATTCTGGTACCAGATATAGCCACAGATCTATAGATTAATAAACAATTAATTTTTTTTATTTCAGATGAGGAGAACAGCAGGAATCGTGGCAGCCATTTCACTACTTTTTTTTTACAGCGGCCTCTTTCGAGAACTCTATACGCTAAAATAAACAATATTTTTGCTTAAAAAAAAAGGGTATAGTTTGTTTAAATACAAGTAAATATGTAGTAAATATTTCAAGTATGTGTAATTTAATGACCCACAAAAAAAAAAAAAAGCTGAAAAAAGCGGAAAAAACTGGCCGTCACATGGTACGACCCCCTTAAGCAAGAACTTCAACTACTTGGAAATCGTGAAACCCAGAATGGTTATATATTAATAAAGTATTTAAGAAACGAAATATAATTTGTCTGCTAATAGCAAACACATTATCAATGCAAAATCAAAGAAGTTTCTTACATCACCGATCATAACTGCTTCTTCCGGGGGTATGCCTCCCAATGCAGTATTGAAAAATTCCGGAGTTGGTTTTCCGATTACTTCTGATTTCACGTTTGCAGAATATTCGAGTCCTTTTACGAATGCACCTGGACCTAAAGCTAAACCATCTTGTCGTTTGTAATATCGCCCTTCGTGGACAGCGATAAGAGAGGCTCCATTAAGCAAAAGTCTGAAATTTGTATAAAGGAAGGAAGTTACACATCTTTCTAATGCAAATTGAAACCTCCTGGTAGTAATTTACCTAAATGCTTTGTTTAGTTCTTCGTAATTAAATTTGTCTGGTGCAAGGCCGACTACTACAGCATCGAAGGGCTCTGTCATTATTAAATCTTCAAAGTCTTCCATAGCAGCAGGATCGATTAGAAGATGTGGATTCAATTTTCGAGAAATAATCGCTTCTCTTGCCGCCGATAAAGAGCTGAATATTTCCTCTTTCTTGATTTCAAATCCTAGATTGATTAATCGACCGTGGAGAGACGTCTTCGATTCCTTAGTGGTGTTTGTCACGAATTTGATGTGCAGATCGGCACGTCGGAGCCTGCAAATGGAAATAAATGTATCCAATTTAAAACACGTTCATTACTTATGATTTGTTTTCTAATACGTGCATTTAAAGTTCGTCTACCTTTTACGGTTATCCTGGTAACGTAATTTGAAAATTGCGCGCGCTGACGCGGCACCTGCGCAGTCGGGTGACTGCGCGAATGCAGTATAAAAATTATACCATCTATCAGAGAGTTTGGCATTACCTATTTAAAGCTTCCACGGCGCCGGGGATTACCGTATTGTCGATATGCAAAGTTCCGCTGAGATCAATTAACACGGTCTTTATCTTGCTTGCCATTTTTGCGATTAAACAAATCGATGCGCCGTAGTTGCCGTATCAACCGAGTAATCTTGCGTCGACGTCAGCGCCACTGGCGTCGAGACTCGACACTAGGCCACGATATCCGGTATATATAGAACGTATGCAGGTGCCGTGCCTCCCATTTGGCTCTTTCCTGCGGTGCCCGTGAAACGTGAGTAATTGGTGTCCTTATATTCGGGTAGCAGAAATTCCGTCGCGCATGAAAATACATAAATTAACATTAAGTACATTTAACGTGTCCAGTGTCGTTCGCGATCTCTGCGCAGGGACTCGGCTCGGTAAATGTCCATCGCTCTGAGAAATTCGACACGTGAGCGACTACCGCGCGCCCTCGCGGCATCTGGAGATACTATGAGACGAAGGCGAAACGCAAGCCAGAGCCGCGCTCTTCCGGGAGGATGTCTTCATTGGTCTTCATTTTCGGAGCACCGCGCTCGCCGCGGAGTTCTTTTTCCGCTTAACCGCCGATCATGCTGCTCGTTGCGAGGCTCGCCTAGGCTTCCCGAGAGCTGAAGGAGAACTTCCCTGGATCGTCCGAGACGACGAGTGAGTACATTTCGTAAAAAGCGGCACTCTTGCGTGAGGATATCCGCCCCGTTATCGCCCCTCGGAAAAGCGCCTCGCGATGCGTTTGTTCCGTTCAAAGATGGCGTCCCTGTCTGTCTTCCCGCCCGGCGATTCGGCCGCTGTCCGGTCACGTTTTCCAGTGGGAAGGGCCGCCTACTTTCCTCGCTTCGCTCTGCAAATCGTATTTAACGTGTATCGACCACCCTGTCGCGTATCTATTACGTGATAATCTTATTTCAAGCGGTGTAATGGAATCCTGTTAATGTGCCGCGGTTAATTGGTATACAACCGCGAGCCTCCTGGAATTGTAGGAACGCCAGTCATCGGTAATGGTGCTCTCGTGGTACGTTATTTCGGTTATAGGTTGGAAGTTTCGAGACCTTGCTTTTAAAACATATTTTTTCCGACGTTATCGTTCTATTCGGTGCATGACTAGACGCCATTATTCCCTAACCAAGTCATTCCGCGTTTTGCAAATACAACTCGGAGTAAATATACATTGCTTACCTTTCCGATTGAAATGATCTTTTAGTATACGAGCAACGTGGGCGTCCCTTATTATTTTTATCGTGTTACTGGTTTGATCGGAGCTTTCACGTATTGTTACTCGGAGAGGGGTAAGAAGAACATTTTCAAGTTTTTTGTTTCCCGTTAGTAATTTAATCTGCTTTCGCGTCTTTGAGAATTAATAGATTTATTAATTTTGCGATATCGTTATATGTTAGGAACGTACCGTCGGTTGTATTACAATATGTATGATAATATGGTATGCAGTTAAAGTTATCGCAACTTCAAGGTTAAATGGTATAATAACCTTGTACATCGTAGGTACATTCTGAATGGACAACTTGATGGGTGTGTCAGAAATAGAAGCAATTTCAATGATCGAATCATCCAGAGCTTGTGAATTACCAGATGTTCCAGAGGTATTAGAGGTCTCCGAATCTACAGGTCTCAGTCCTCTTACATCTACCTTAGATCATACTCTCACCTTACAAGAGGATAATTTGTTACCTACGGAGGTCAATATGGGGATTGAAAATACCTGGTTAGTTTTTATCGATAATCTGCCGTATGATTTTATGAAATTTGAGTTTTGCAGGTTTCTTATTGACTGAATTTTATTTCATTGCATTTCGTAGGACAGAAGCGAATAGTTCTACGTCCGATTATGCTATTCCACTCCCACCACCACCAGGTTTGGATGATTTTGCAGATGTTGGAGCCGATCCAATGTGCGATTCCGGAAGCGGTATAGAGTACGGTGCTTTTCTTCCACCTGGATCTTTAGCATTGAATAATCTCTATACCGAGACTGGGGAGACTCAGGACGATTCTGTGATTGGTAAGATAAAAAGTTGAATGTTCCTAGTTGTTGAACTTTTGTTTGTGGAATATATAAGTAATTGTAAACATTGTCAAAAGTTTCTACTCCTGCTGGGGTTTGCGGGCTTCTCAACCTCGGGAACACGTGCTTCATGGCTGCTGGTTTGCAGTGTCTTACTGCCACACCGCCTGTTTTACGACACTTTTTAGAACTACGACAACGAGGAGAGAAATTACCACCTCCTGAATCATTGATGGCACATTTTAGTTCTCTCCTAAGTAAAATGTGGTCTGGTGAGTTTAGCGTAGTAAAACCAACAGAGTTCAAGCAAACTCTTGGTGCTTACCATTCACAGTTCAAGGACTATCGACAGGTAATTTTACATGGTCGTGTAATAATAAACGTATGTTCCTTTTGGTGTTGAATTGAAAAAATAATACATTGTTTGTTACAGCATGACTGCCAAGAGTTTCTTGCACTTTTGTTGGATTCTCTTCATGAACAAATGAATGTCGCCAAGTCACCGAAGAACTGCCATGTTGCATGTACTACTACTGCTGCCAATTCAATTAATGCAAACCGGAACGGTGCAAAGAATTCGGTTCTGGATGCTATAGTCACTGCCACTAGTAATTCCAATTCTAATTTAGAATTAATGGAAGTGTATGACAACTTACCATCACCGGAGTGTCCAAGTAGTCCAAATGTGACCATGGCTGGTTCACCTAGAGGTACGGTCAAAGATATATTTATTATATTTACTGCTCACTCTCGTAACGTGTGAATAGACATAGATTCTTATTGTTTAGACATAGATTCTCCTATGTGTGAGTTGGATAGTACGGCAAACTCACCTAGGAGATCATCCTTGAACGACGACGAGGAAACGCTTGATTCGGATGAAATAATAGATACTAAATCCATCTTCATTCATAACCGAATGCAAGAAGATACGGACACAACTTTTACTAGGCGTCCTTTGAGATTAGATAAGCTCATCGAACTTTCTAAAAATCCGACGCAATATCAAGGCTTATATGATATTCTCAAGGATGCTAAAACTAGCAATGCAAATTTCTTGGTAACTCCGCAAGAGTGCAATAACGAAATCCATTACGATTCTCAAAAGTTTCCTAAGGAGAACATTCGGAGAATGGCTCTCGATAACTCAAATTTAACAGAGAATCACGACTTTGACAATAAAAGCGTCAGTATAAAGAGGTTAAAAGAAGTCAATGTCCAGAAGAGCAATTGTAGCATCGATTGTCTATCGAGTGGTTCCGACACCGAATACGACAGTGGTTTAGAAAAGTGCAATGTAAAGAGGATGCGGCTCGAAGATCAAGAGAAGAACCACAGACGAGATGGATTGGGAACCAGTGGATCACAGTGCTCACGGATATTACAAAATTGTGAAAACGGTGCAATAGCTGCTCAAGAAGAAGTCGAGGCTGACAAACATTGGGCGAAACATCTCAAGTCCAACAGAAGTATCATCGTAGATACTTTCCAGGGTCAATTCAAGAGCACAGTTAGTAGTCGGTAACCTTAAATTGCTAGACAGCATACGGACGTGCTAGAATACGGAAGATAGAGATTCGAGACACGGAGTGTTGCTGTCAAGATAAAGTAATCGCTATCACGGATCTCTGACATCAAAGTAGCGGATATTCCTTCTCGTTCCGTAGAGTCCCGGAACAAGCCTCACGCCGCAAGACAAACCGGCTCTTAGCTTTAATAAATCGCAGAATTCTCGAGATTGGGTGTATATTATGTGCCTGGAATTGTTTTCAGGTCGTTTGTGCGGTGTGTAAGCACGTCTCTGTGACGTACGAGCCTTTCATGTACCTCTCGGTACCGTTGCCTCACGCGATGGAGAAACAGCTGAGCGTCACGTACATTCCTGCGAATAGCGACTCCCCTGTGAGATGTGTCGTGTCATTGAACAAACAGTCCAGAATTGGGAAGCTTAAGGAGGAAGTATTGAAGACTTTGGGGAAGGAGAACGTGGCCACGGCCAACGTGGCAATGGCCGAAGTACTGGAAAACCACATAGCAAGAATATTGGTAAGCGAAGCCTATTCGAGTCCGAATTTAATCCCATCTCGGAGGGTGAAGAAGGTGGCGTACCTATCAGCGTCGGTAGCCGCCGATACTGCCCTCCAAGATTAATCGCATTAGGAGAACATTCTCGCAACCTGAAGATTCGTTGCGAGGCTACATCCTATCGCACAAACCTTATACCATATACATACGAGGTGGATGATAATTGTTCTTTCTTCCCTCTTAAGGACGACAACTCTCTCTTGAGGTACGTCGATGACACGAATCGCTCAATTTACGCGTTCGAATTGATGGAACCTCCCGATCCGTACACGTCGATCTCCGATGGAGGAGGCGATCGCGTCCCAGAGACGGAGCCCTGTCAGAACGGGACGTCGACGGGGGAAGAGATCGGCCCCTGTACCATATGCCTGGAGGAATTGGACGGAGATCTGAAGAAACACGGAGGCAATAACTGTAACTTCATCATGTGCGATCCCTGCATCGAGGTGAGTGCCCCTTCGCTGTCGTTAAAGTAGTTAGCTTTTGCTTTCCCTAGACGATCATCCGGGGAATTATTTACAAGGCACGGAACGACAGGCCGATCCAATGAGCTTTTAAGTCGGTCGATAGTAATGCCGTCGCTGATAATCGAATTCGTCGACACACCCGATGATGATACCGGCAGCGTCAATCTTGCAGTAGGGGTGCACAGGCGAGGCACTCGGTTGCCACTAAGTTTCACCTCGGGAAGGTCTGAGAACAGGTCATCTAACGCTCTAGCCGGGCGGTACCGTAGAGGTACGCGCGGGAACCAGAAAAAGCTCGACGCCAGTCCTAGCCGGGGAAGCTTGTTCGCAAGCCGAGGTGGCTCGTCGTCGAGGTGGAAACCCGCGTGGCCCGCTCGTTTAGTCCAATCTGCAAGCCATGCCTCAGGCGTGGAACTCAATTCAGACTAGTCTGACGCTGCCGTCCTACTGAGGGTCTCGAAGTCGTAAATAGAAAAGAATCGAATCCTCTACCGTTTACTCAGACAATGCATATCGTCACTGTGGTACTTTTTTAAATTTCCCGAAGGTTTCCCGGCTCGCCGGCATTCCCCGGATAGATCGACAGCTACCTCTGCTCCACCAGCAAGATCGTCTTTCGTTCTGCTTGGAGTTTGAAGCGTATGTAGCGAGCGGGTGAGGGGATCTGTTTACGTTAATTCGTTAGCTATTTATAGTTTGTTTCACAAATTTCTTTCAATTATTTCCGGTTACGTTTGCATATCCACAACGACCGTAGAGTCGAGCAACCGACTCGAGAGTAACGACTCTTTCGTTGGCACCAGTTCGACGTCCCCGGGGTCCGATATTTGTGAAATAAGCTAAAGTGAAAACTGAGAGAGCAGTGCATATTACCCAACAGAACTACTTCAAGAACCAAACGGATCCTCAAATGTGCCCAGTGTGTTCTACGTGCGTGACGGCGTCGTCCTTCGCCAAGATCGATCAGACCGGTCGACCCAGGCCAGCGGTGAGGATACTCAACGTCCCGCTCTTGTTAAGGCACGACACCAACGAGGCGACCAACAACAGAAAAGGCACCAAGATCTTCGGTTACCCCTACTTGGTCAAGTTGCCATCCAGAGTCAATGCGAGAGACCTCTACGGTATCGTCGAGAAGGTAGTGCCACAGGAAGGCAGCTACACCGTTCACTTCGTCGACGGACAGGTAGTTCCACGTAGTCACCGGAGCTAGGTTCTATCTGGTAGACCTGGCTTTGACTAATTACTGTAAGTTCCTACAAGTCTGGAGTTTTAGATGGGGCCAAGCGTCTCATTTAATCACTCGACTTTGGAGAGTGTATTGGAATCGGGCGTCTTATTCCAGATTAATGTCTTCGGGATCTTTTCGTCGTTTATAATGGATGGATAACGTTTATTTAGTCGCCAACGTGATACTTTTGGTTTAAACGATTATAGATATCAACTGTAGGGAGTCGTAACGGCCATCTCCCATATCTTGTGGAGGCGTGCATTTGAACTGTTAGAAAGTTTTTACAATACTTTGGTGATGTTCTTTCGTATAGACGTAGACGCGTACATTCTTTGCGTGGGATGAAATATCGAGAAGTGTTTATAATGGATGGATAACGTTTATTTGGTCGCCAACGTGATACTTTTGGTTTAAACGATTATAGATATCAACTGTAGGGAGTCATAACGGCCATCTCCCATATCTTGTGGAGGCGTGCATTTGAACTGTTAGTTTTTACAATACTTTGGTGACATTCTTTCGTATAGACGTAGACGCGTACATTCTTTGCGTAGGATGAAATATCGAGAAGCGTTTATAATGGATGGATAACGTTTATTTGGTCGCCAACGTGATACTTTTGGTTTAAACGATTATAGATGTCAAATGTAGGGAGTCGTAACGGCCATCTCCCATATCTTGTGGAGGCGTGCATTTAAACTGTTAGAAAGTTTTTACAATACTTTGGTGACATTCTTTCGTATAGACGTAGACGCGTTACATTCTTTGCGTAGGATGAAATATCGAGAAGTGTTTCTTGTTTACAGGGTCACCGGTGCTCGCGATGTATGTTTACTACACACTGTACAGGATGTAGAGTGCCGGAAAGTGGTATGGTGGCGCTGCAAAATGGCGATAACTTGGCGGTTCGATACACCGAGAACGTGCCCAAAATTGTGCAGCCGATCGACCATGTTAGCGTGAGCAAACAGCGGCCGCCTCATCCTCTCTCCCTCTACGATTGTTTGCAAGCATTTAGTCAAAGGTAACTTCTTTACTGACCGTTTAAGGTGAAGGGAAATACGCCGAGAAACTTGATCGACGACGATAAAGAAGATTTTTCTAAATACCTACGTTGCCGACGTTCGTTCTTATATTGACTTTTGGGTCGAATTATATTGGGTAGTGTCCTAAATGGCATACTCCACCTGTCGTTTTCGTACAATAATTATAAAGAAATCGAAGTAAAACTCCAGAAATCCTCTGGATTCATGCTTTCTGGGGCCCTAATTGGCTGCAGAGGGACCCCCTGCGCCATCTGTGATTTCCAGATCAATTAAATTTTCACTCCGAGACCTCGTATTTCTATCGTTTTGGTATAGAAGCGAATAAAACACTTTTTTCGCCTTTATCCCGTTCAAATGTGAGTTTATCGATACCCAAAGTGTGCTAAATTGTCGTAAAATTGTCCCGACCCTTTCGATTCTCATATCAGAGCCTTCGATAATTGTAGATTGATCGAAATATGAGAGGCCGACGCCACTTTGGTTCTGGTCTGGGCTAAGTTAAGAAATTTTTGTCCGAAAATCCAAACTTTGAATGTGACAGGACAATTCTTAGATGATCACGGGTCATGTGTCAAAGTTACGGACAGTTTTGTCCAATACCCTTAAAAAAAAGTGTTGTTTTCAAATTGACTGATTTGAAGGGGGTTTCACTTCACCTTAATAAATGGATCCTTGGCCCTCGAAGCCAAGGATTTAAATAGGAAGAAAAGTTTACAAGATAAACACCATAAAATTGTCCTTAATCATTTGTAACTCATTTTCTTTCAAGTCAAGACAAACTGGTATAACGAGTAACTCACAAGTGTTAACCCCCTTGTATTAACGAAAACTCTAAATTTATAAACAAACTAGGAAGAAGTAATACACAATTAAATTGAAATAGATTTAAGTTTACATTAACAATTAAATAGAACTAGATTAAGAACAAATAATACACAATTAAATTGAAATAGATTTAAGCATGCCGGAAAAATCAAGTAAGACTTAAAAGTATCGATATACGGGTATGTAACTTTAAAGCCGTTGCTGTAGAGGGTTAAAATTACAAGTTTAAGATTATAATCCAATTACAGATACGTTTAATGTTTAAAATATCTTTTCCGGATTTTAAATTTCTGGGCAATTTGAAGAACGTAAAGAGTAACGATTCGAAGATCCTTCATTCCATGTCGTCCTTGTTTCAGTGAGACATTAGATGAGCACAATCCATGGTTCTGTCCCAAGTGCGAGCGTAATCAGTGCGCCACGAAAACGCTGACCGTCCACCGATACCCTAAGTTCCTGATAGTCTACCTCAAAAGGTACGGAGCGAGCCACGACACTTGCAAACCTTGACGGAGGAACATGCCTCGAAGTTGAGAATCACGCTTACGCCTTTCTTTGCCGTAGATTCGTATTCTACGAATGCGTCAGCATGAAACTAGACGACAAGGTTACCTTCCCCCTGGTTGGCCTCAGCGTGGGACGACACCTCTACGATCTCTACGCCTGCGTGTGCCATTTTGGAGGTGAGTCAATCTTAAAGTGCATCGAGTCCGCTGCAGCCTAGATTTTACCTTTCTGCCGACGATCGCTACCAAGTGTCGTTCTTGGTTTATCGCTTCCCCTAAGATACATACCTCTTGGTAAACCGAGGTTTCCACCTAGAAGAGCGCGAATGCGTTACTCCGAAGACACTTATCGAACCGGCGAGTTCCGCCGTTATCGAAATGGGTCAACGGTAAAGGTTAACACGGAAGTAAATGTATCGTTCTACGTTTGAACCTCGCGTAACATTATGTAGAAAGGTATTTTCTTGCCTGCAGGTGTTTCAGCGGGGCACTACACGGCGTACGCGAAAAACCCGCGGACCGACGTCTGGTATTATTACAACGACGAAGTAACTAGCAGGCAGAAACCTCAGGAGGAGGATTTCAGCAACGCTTACATTCTCTTCTACAGTCGGCAAGGGACCAACCTGAAACCGTGCAACATATAACCTGTGAGACCCTCGTCGGGGTGTTCGAAAGCCCTGGGAATGTTCGAGGCGATGCCGGAGCAAGAGCTACGCGGATCGGTCGATGCTCCGATATCGCGAGGAATACGTTAACTCCCTCCTGGAGAGCTCGGTCTCGTTTCACCGGGGTCGGCGGTCTATGTGGGAAACGTATATGTCTTCTGGAAATTACTTAATTTCGCGGTGATGCGTCGCTTAACAGGGATTGCATTTACGTAGGCGGCTCCTCCGTTCCTATTATTTCTCTCTGACGAGCTCTACTCAGTGGGGACATTTCCTATGCAAGATGCGGTTCGAACAGCTAACCCGTGACTATTCTATTTGCTTATCGTATGAACGTGGTCTACGTAGACGACGAACGGAAGGTCGAACTCTGGCGTAGCGTGGCCTGGCAAACGGCTCGTATCAATGTATCGTTCCTTGCCTCATGTACAATGGCGGACACGAATGCCTCCTCTGCAGATACTACATCGCCTGTGTAGGATGGGAGGGCATTGATGTCTCCCGGTGTACATTGGAGGACATGAATGCCTTACCTGCAGATATACCATTGTCAATGCACAACGGGAAGGCATTCGTGTTCACCAGGGTACCGAGGAGCTTCCTTTGAGTCGGATTATAAGGACGAACAAGGGAGGACATTTTCCCTGTGTTTGAACTAAGGATGAGTGGGTGACTAGTCTAGACGAAGGGGGAGTCTAGCTCGGATCGCTCGTCTGGTGGTTCAGGTCTCGGGATGGGAGGAGACACACTACTATCGGAAATGTCAAATCGTATATCGATTTTGTACTATAGTTCAATATAGATTCGATAATCTTAAATAAACGTAATTTATTAGAAAATAAAAGCAAACCATTAAACAACGCCATGTTATCTTTGTCCTCTTGTTCAGTAGCTTGTTTGATAGGTTGCTTTAATCCTAACTTGAACCGTTCCAGGGCTCGGAATGATATTGAATAGATTTTGGATAGATTTGATATTGAATAGACATTTGGAAAGTCGGTGATTAGAGATGAGAAACGACGTAATGGTATACATAGATTTTATCTTATATATTTAAATGGAGGTTTTGAATATATATATTGCGTAAATCAGCTGCTTTCATTGCGGCTAAGAGGGTAAATTTATTCATTTATTCAGCATTCATTGATTAAGGTGAAGTGAAACACGTCGATAAACTTAATCGACGTTGATAGAGAAGATTTTTCTAAATACCTACGTTGCCGACGTTTGTTTTTATATTGACATTTGTGTCGAATTATATTGGGTATTGCATTAAGTGTTATTGCATTAAGTGCATTAAGTAATTCCAACTGTTGTTTTCGTACAATAACTATAAAGAAATCGAAGTACAACTCAGAAATTCTCTGGATTCATGCTTTCTGGGGCCCTAATTGGCTGCAGAGGGACCCCCTGCGCCATCTGTGATTTCTAGGGCAATTAAATTTACACTCCGAGAGCTTATATTTCCATTGCTTTGGCATAGAAGTTTAGCATAACCATCGTTTTTGCATAGAAGCGCATAAAACACATTTTTTACATTTATCCCGTTCAAATACGAGTTTATCGATTACCAGAGTGTTCTAAATTGTCGTAAAATTGTCCTGACCCTTGTGTTTCTCATACTGGAGCCTTCGATAATTGTATATTAATCGAAATACAAGAGTTCGACCGCATTTTGCTTCTGGTCTGGGCAAAGTTAAGAAATATATTCCAAAAATCCAAATTTTGAAACTCAGGACAATTCTTATATGATCACGAGTCATGTGTCAAAGTTTCGGACAGTTTGATCCAATACCCTTAAAAAAAAGTGTTATTTGAATCGACTGATATGAAAGGGGTTTCACTTCACCTTAAGGTTTCGCAAATGACGTTGAAATATCAAGTCACCGATAGTTCTTGGATAGGGAAATAATTGCAAGACCTTTTTAGGTTTTCCTCAATAATACTCAGGGGGGTTGGCTTTACCGATTATTTATTAAATTATTTGCGTCGTACTCTTATTACAAGAAATGCATCTTAACAAACACACATTAATATACATAATTATTGTAGTCGTTACAATCTACGTCGTAGGTTAGCTTCGTCGACGTCATTTGAAGTGTCCTGCACGTGCAATCGAGCGTACTTTGTGCTTCAAGCACGGCGATGCATCGAACCAGGGAGTATTTACATTCGAGCTCGTTAAATAATGTGAAACAATGGGATGTCGAGATAGCTAAGAAAAGTTTTCTTGTTTTTTGTTTTTCTTTTGGGAAATTACGAGTTACATATCTTCTACATCATCCACCTGTAAAAACGCAGGGCAAGAAATGTTTACAGTGTCCTTGTTTTGAAAAATATTCCCACACCGAGATTGTTGCTAAATGCACTGTATCGGGTCACTGATTGCCAAGCTGGTTGTTATTCCAAAAAAAAAACGCATTTGTTCGTCATTAATGTTTAAATGTTGGGTGCAGGTCGATCGGGGTCATCTACGACGTTTATATATATATATTTATATTTATTTCGTTATAAACATATACCTATTTGTATATATATAAATATTTATATTCATATATATTTATATCAGCGTTATAATTACGTTTCATCTAAAGGTACCGTCATTCCTTTAACGTTTTACCGCTTTATCGACGGTATGGCTACGATACAACGTGCGACGTTTCTCACGGATTTTATTTCGAGGTGTTTGCAATGTTTCGTGTTATGAAAGTACCGAGATGGTGTCAATTTCTCAACTTGGTTTATTCGTAAATATTTTCCCATCGAGTTAAAGCTTTCATTTGAGTGGACTTAAAGCCGTTGTTGAAGCGACTTTCTTCCTCGCTTCGATGATTTCCTTCCAACGATGTGACGACCGAACGAGGATGCGGCTCGCCATTTTCTTCGAAAACCCTTCGAGTTGTAGAAAGCTCGTCGACTGAAATAAATCTTTCGGAATTTCAGTAGTCGAACGTATTCGTAAACTTTCATAGAGCTACCAGAGCCGTGGAAGAGACTCTTATAAAAATGCTTTGATAGAGTGCTGACAAGGAAATATCCTTAAAATTCGGTAATGAGTAGGGCTAGGGGAATTATTGGGAATTTGATTTAAGAGTAGCGTATTGTACAGAATCTATTTGTCAGGCATATTCTTGTCAATACCTCTCATAGTGTTAAGGTGAAGGGAAACACGTCGAGGAACTTGATCGACGTCGATAAAGGTTTTTCTAAATACCTATGTTGCCGACGTTCGTTTTTATATCGACAGCTATGTTGAATTATATTGGGTATTGTACTAAATGGCATACTCCACCTGTCGTTTTCGTACATTAATTATAAAGAAATCGAAGTAAAACTCCAGAAATCCTCTGGATTCATGCTTTCTGGGGCCCTAATTGGCTGCAGAGGGACCCCCTGCGCCATCTGTGATTTCCAGGTCAATTAAATTCTCACTCTAAGACCTCGTATTTCCATCGTTTTGGCATATAAGCGCATGAAACACTTTTTTTGCCTTTATCCCGTTAAAATGCGAGTTCATCGATTATCAGAGTGTTCTAAATTGTCGTAAAATTATCCTGACCTTTTCGTTTCTCATATCGGAGCCTTCGATAATTGTACATTGATGGAAACGTGAGAGCTCGACGGCATTTTGGTTCTGGTCTAGGCTAAGTTAAACAATTTTTCCAAAAATCTCAATTTTGAAGGTGTCAGAACAATTTTTAGATGATGTGTCAAAGTTTCGAACAGTTTGATCCAGTACCCTTAAAAAAAAAGTGTTGCATTCGAATCGACTGATCTGAAGGGGATTTCACTTCACCTTAACCCTCTATGGGTCGAATTTTTCATTAAATAAAAAAACATTAGGGGAACGACAAATCAGCAATTAGGAACCTATATATGCAAATGAAAAAAAATTTTTCATTTAAAATGTGACCTGAAAGTTACATGGGCCCATAGAGGGTTAACACATTCGCGACCGGCAAATTTTTTCCCTTTCAAAAACTGAGTACTGGCGAAAATAATGAAATTATGAAACCTGGTTGCCGCAAACTTGTATCGTGTATCGTTATGGATGTGATTCACGTCAGCGGCAACCAGGAATACAATTTAAAATGACGTGAATTCACGTCAGCGGTCGCGAATGTGTTAAACAGCGAATCTGGGTGAGCCGTGACTTTAACAGATAACGTCCAGGTAATCCTTTGACTTATCTGAAACTGAATTTCTAATAATTGCCAAAATGTCCACGTATATATATTTTTTGTATTTTCCAACTAAAGTTATTTGTTTTACATCTGTCAAAACTAGTACTCCGATTAGACGATGTTTTTTTCTTTTTTCCAGTTAAAATCAGGAAATACGATGTTAAGTATGTTTCCTCGTCAGCGCTTTTCAAAATTGCTTATCAGACGTACCGACAATGTCGAGTCTCGGATAAGATTTGCTCTGCGTCTGGTGTCTTTTTTTTTGTTTCCTTTCTTGCTCTTCAATGATTAATACGTCGCAATTTTTACAATTACATCCCGATATGAACAACGTTAATAAAATAACTCTGCGCATTTTATACACACTCTCCTAAACCTAGACGCTACTTTCCCTAATCGAATGAAGGGGTGGAAACTAATCAAAGATGCATATCCTCCTGACATGAAATCTTTTTAACACAAGGTATCTTTTCTCTTTCCAGATCCGTTTACCTATCTGAAATAGTCTCGTAAGAATTTTACCGGAAGAAGATTGGCTTTCTAGTTGAAATACCTTTTCTAATGGATGTTAGAAATGCATTCAATGATAACGCTCACACATACCTATATAATTGGTTGTTCCACGCGCCAAGTGGCAAATTCTTCCTAAAAACCAACTGCAAAGATATCTTTAAGGCCAATTTTCCGTGAAACTATCTTAAATGGATAACCAGGACTAATTTCAATGTCGCAAAGTCGCAAGGAACTTCGAGGCGTTTTCCTTCCGATTAAAGCCGAGCAAGCGTTCCTTTTTTTTGAGTCCGTCACTTTTTTAAATAGAAGCTGGGACTGTTGCCTCGAAGTCTTTTACACATTCTGAACAATTTAGCAGAATGAGGTGCAAAATAGCGAAGAAAGTTATTTCAATCGATTCCTCGGGAGACTATACTTTGTATGCTATTTATGATAATCTAATTGTTGGTATATACAGCGACGAAGTTTTTTGATAAATTATGGGAAACTGCTCTCAACTTGGGAACACACTTCTGATAAGGTGCACTCCACCGATTTTGTTGGTTCTGAGATATGTTGTTATACGGGGAAAAATAAAGGACACGTATTTTTTTATATGCGTTAATTTTCGAGTTTAAAGGGTGAGAAGTAGCCCGAAAGTTAACTCCCAAAAAGATTCTTAATACCTCGACATCACATAGGAAAATGTTTATCGGGACCATCTGCAATTTGTTTAATTTAATCAGCGCTTCCAAGAATATTTCATATTCTTTTATACGTATTATACGTTTACACGTATTCTTTTATGTGTTAATTACGAAAACTACTCCCAAATTTAACTCCCAAAAAGTTTCTTGACACCTTCTCGACATCAAATAGGAAAATGTTTATCGGGACCGCCTGCAATTTGTTTAATTTAATCAGCGCTTCCAAGAATATATCATATTCTTGGAATATATCATATTCTTCCAAGAATATATCATATTCTTGGAAGGTATTCTTTTATGTATGTTAATTCCCGGGTTTGAAGGGTGAAAACTACTCTGAAAGTTAACTTCAAAAAAGTTTTTTAATACCTCAACATCAAACAGGAAAATGTTTATCGGGACCACCTGCAATTTGTTTAATTTAATCATCGCTTCCAAGAATATTTCATATTCTTTTATACGTATTATACGTTTACACATATTTTTTTATGTGTTATCCCAAATTTAACTCCCAAAAAGTTTCTTGACACCTTCTCGACTTCAAATAGGAAAATGTTTATCGGGACCACCTACAATTTGTTCAATTTAATCAACGCTTCCAAGAATATGATATATTCTTGGAAGGTATTCTTTTATACATGTTACACGTATACACGTATTCTTTTATATATGTAACTCCCGAGTTCAAAGGGTGAAAACTACTCCAATAGTTAACTCTTAAAAAATTTCTTGATACCTTCTCGACATCAAATAGGAAAATGTTTATCAGGATTGCCTGCAATTTTTTCAATTTAGTCAGCGCTTCTAAGAATATGATATATTCCTGGAAGGTATTCTTTTACACGAATTCTTTGATATATGTTAAATCCCGACTTTAAAGGGCGAAAACTACTCCAAAAGTTAACTCCCAAAAAGTTTCTTGACACCTCGACATCAAATAGAAAAATGTTTATCGGGACCACCTGCAACTTGTTTAATTTAATCACCGCTTCCAAGAGTATATCATATTCAATTCCGTTTACGAGAAGGTGTGAAAAAACTGTGGAAATTAATGTTGGCCTCCTAAATTCGAAAATTAACACGTATAAAAAAGGTAAATGTCTTACTTTTCGATCTACTACAACATATATCAGAATCAAGAAAATCGGTGAAGTTCACCGGGGTATCATCGGGATTTATTTAATTGCAAACTCGAAGCGAGGAACGTGACGATTATGTCAAGAGACTTTAAACAAATCCGTGTCCAAGCGCAGAAATATGGCTCAAAGCGTTCCACGATAAGCAAGAATTGAATGTAACGTTTCTAACAACTAGCCCAGGAATCGATTCTCATCCTTCGTGATTGATCGGTCGATCGGTAAACTTTCTCGGCTACGTCGCTCGCCACATTTTGCCGTCGTCGAGCGTCGAGACGCGACGATGGAACGAGATAATGATAAAAGTTCCTCCCCTCGAAGAGGCGGTTCTCCATAAAAATGCTATACTCAAACATCTTTATATATATTTATAAATATATCGTAATAATATTCCTTTATCCCTAGTTATTGTGTACGGTGGGTCTCTTATAGATTAGTATGAAAATGATATATATCGTAAGGTCGAGTGCTCGCGAGGGTGAACGGTGGCGTTCTTCCGGGTGGGTGGAGGCGGCGAAGGTGAATCCGATCGGGTGGGTGGACATCTACTTCGAGGTTCCTTTCCTGACGAGGAGTCTGGTGTCTCGTCCAGCACGTGTCATTACCAAAAATATTTCACGGTAGGACGACCTCTCCTCTCCGCGTCTTCGGCCTGGTCTCGACGAACTCCTGCACTTGGTCCGTCCTGGCGTCATCGCGGCCGGCGCCGGCGAGTTCCTCGCGGTTATAAACATTTACTCTAATGCGGTCGTTAACTCGGCAGTGGCCTCTTGGACGAAGGCGCAAACGTCCCGGAGGTATCAGGAATCGAGCACTGTCGTCTACGGTCGGTCGCCTTCCGGTACCGTTCCACTAATCGTTCTACGAACTTCCACCGACGACCTCGCGGGTCGACTCAGGGTCGCCCCGAGATTTGACTAGAAAATAAATCGGCCCTCGACTCGTCCACTGCCTGGTACAATGGCGGACACGAATGCCTCCCCTGCGGATACGACATCGCCTGTGCAGGTTGGGAGGGCATCGATGTCTCCCAGTGGTACCGCTTTCCTACCATTTGGGGTACAAAAACGAGATCCGAGGGTTGTCGCCTGACGCGATGCGTGCTCCAGACTAGACTAGATACTTTTCCAATCGGTGCTAACGTTCTCCGATTACAGGAAGCTCCGCTCGGCGACGAGTCGAGTCCTGGAGGCGAACCCTCCGGTCGCCCGGAACGGGTCCTCGGTGCGAGTTATCTCTGCCGATGATCCAATGATCCGATGAGCCGATCAATTTCGATTAATGCAGGGACACGGTGAACCACACTATCGCCCCTGGATGGACCAGGCCACCGATTTCACAGTTCACCGTTCTCGTCTCGCCGTTCAGGACGAAGAGGGCTTCGCTCGAGGGACTCACCATGTACCGGCCGAAAATCCCGCTCTGGACGATGGGCCTGTTGGGGTTGCCCCATTTCGTCAGGCTAGGCGACATGGCTTTGCCCACTCCCGTGATCATTTCGACTTTTCCTGGAAACAAAGACAACGGATTATTCCGCCAGCTGACTTTTCGGCGGGTAGGTGACTTAGGGGTTGGATCTTTACCGGTCGCCAGGTTCAAGAAGAGGATGTCTTCTTTGTCGATCGACGAGGCGTATAGGTCGTAGCCGTGCGTCGTTTGGGAAGGGTAGAACGTCATGTCGCTGATGTTCAGGGTCGTCTTCACGTCGAATGCGAATCTTAGACCGTTGGCTGAAAAGGAACGATTCTATGGTAACATGGCTCGGTTGCATTATTTGGGGAAGTGTTACGTTTGCCGTTTACGTAGTTTAGTAGATCTCTTCTGGTTATTATCGATAAAACGAGACGAGGGGTTGCTTGAACAAAACCGTGGCAGATTACGAACGGTGTTCAATTTTCTTAGTGTCGGCTTCATTGTTATTGTTAAGACTTTGGGTGAATTAATAATATTCTTGTGACAAAGTCTTGACGATAACGAGTCGAACAGACTCGATGAAGCCGACATTAAGAAAATCGAAGACCGTTCGTAATCTGCCTCGGTTTTGTTCGATCAATCTCTCGTCTCGTTTTATCACCAGTAACCAGAAGAGATCTACTAAATGCAAGAGTTTCTCTTTCTCGTGCTGATAATTCTCATAATTTTTAGTTTGTCAAATGAAAATGATTAATTCTTTCAAAGTCTTGACGATAACACCGTTCGTAATCTGCCTCGATTTTGTTCGATCAACCCCTCGTCTCGTTTTACCAACAGTAACCAGAAGAGATCTGCTAAATCCAAGAATTTCTCTATCTCGTGTTGATAATTCTCATAATTTTTAGTTTGTCACGAGAATATTATTAATTCGTCCAAAGTCTTGACGATAACGAGTCGAACGAACTCAATGAAGCCGACATTAAGAAAATTGAACCCCGTTCGTAATCTGCCACGGTTTTGTTCGATCAACCCCTAGTTTTATCGACGGTAACCAGGAAAGATGTACTCGATCCAAGAATTTCATTTTCTCCAGGAAGTGTTTCTTCGCACAGGGCGTCTCTTAATAGATATTGTAAATGTTCAGTCTAGCGTGTGTCTTGTAAATCGAGCGTCGACCGATTTCTAGGTGGGGTCTACTTCTCGGCCAGGTCGTCTTCAAACGACAGGGTGGCACGACGTACGTAATATTTCCTGGACAACGAGGATGACTCCGTTCTGTTGGCGGTCCAGAGTAACGAGATGTCTGGAATCGGGCGAGACCATCGGCCTGCCCACGAGGGTCGGTTTGTGGGCCAGGACGGTGTCCGTAAGATAATCCAGAAGTAGCTGACCGGTCGGTCTCCCCGAGATCGGCTCCTCGCATTGCAGTATCACGAAACCATCTGCAAGCACAGGGGAAACTCTATTACCGCTATCGCCGTAACGTCGACACATTCCTCCCGGTGATTCCCTTTTATTGTGCCATTAAGCCGCGCCTAATGGGGCCCTTAAAGCGCAGCGATCTCGTCGACAATTATGCGCTCCCATTAGTTCCTGTTGCGCGATGTAGGGGCGCTGTAACAGGGCATTTTGTAAGAAAGAGTCGCCTCGATTGCGCGATCGGCGTGTACCGGATGACGATACGTCGCTATTTACAGCTCCGTGTTTATGGACTAATGAAAATTGCACTTGCCACGTGACGGTGCGTAAATGCCTCCACTTACAGAGTGCTGGGAATTGTATGTACGCCGGGACGCAGTTGTATGGTGCCAGATCCGCACTGCGCGTGTATCTCATGTTCGCCAGGTCCAACTTGTACATGCCGCGTTGATTGGTGTGTGTTACGTATCCATATTTGAACATGTGACCGATATCCTGGGCAGAATACATGACCCGTTCGATTAGTACAGGACGAAAGGGAAGTCTTCGAAGGGAGGACAAACCCAGACGGTCGCAAAAATTGCACTTTTATGAGAATTTCTATGCGACGCCTAAAAAGCAGGCAGATAAATATATGTTTTTCCACGGGATTAGTCATGTTTCGAAATTTTAACAAATATTTTTTTTTAATTAAATACGTTTTTCCTTTTCGGATAAAATGTATCCAGTAAGCTCTGCACCGGTTCAATTCGTCCGACATCTGGAGTCCTTAAAAATAATCTGAAATCAAAAAGCCCGAGATTTTCCTCAAGTGTACGGAAATTGTAATATTCTAATTATGCCCAGAATGGTACAGGTTTGAAATAAAAAATGTTTGAAAATCGTCAAATAAAGTACCAGTTTTAGAACAGTTTGGAAGAAATTGGTATCGTGAAAAAATTCGTACACTTAACATATTCGCGACCGCTGACGTGAATTCACGTCATTTTTAATTCTCTGCTTAGTTGGCTTGCTAATTGTTAGCCGGTGCGGCGCACAAATTTTATCATTTTTATCCTTGCTTTAACGATACAAGTTTGCGGCAACCAGTTTCAGAATTTCATTATTTTCGCCGGTACTCACAAGGAAGGTACCTGAGGTGCCCCCCTCCGATTTTGTTCATTTTTAAATATGTTATAGAGGACTAAAATCTAAGGGAGCCGTATTTTTTTTTATCGACGGGTAAACCCTTTTAAGGGGTGAAATCAGGCTTCAAAGTTGGCCGTGCAAGGGGGTGAGTTGGCTGTTTCATATAGAAGCACTCGACCGATTTTCATGAAACAACCGTCAAAAAGTGGGGAATGAAGAATTATGAAACATGCATTTGGAATTTTTCCATAAAATTCATTTTTAAGGGGTGCGCCACCCTTTTGAATACTTCTTTTATCCCTTACGCGAGCAATAATTGCTCTTTTTCGAAAAATTCCAAGTGCACGTTTCATAATTCTTCATTCCCTACATTTTGACGGTTGTTTCATGAAAATCGGTCGAGTGCTTCTATATGAAACAGCCAACTCACCCCCTTGTACGGACAACTTTGAAGCCTGATTTCACCCTCTAAAAGTGTTTATCCGCCGATGAAAAAAAACACGGGTCCCTTAGATTTTTATCCTTTATAACATATTAAACCAGTTAGCTGTGTTTGACGAGTATCCTCGTCATGAAAACACACGTTTCAAATAGGTCGACACAGTTAACTGGTTAAAAATGAACAAAATCGGAGGGGGACACCTCAGGTATCTTCCTTGTCAGTATTTGAAACGGAAAAAATTTGCCGGTGTTAATTGTAACCGCATTCATACGTGTGAGAAAATCTTAGGCTTTCTGATTTCAGATAACCATGAAGGATTCCATGCGTAGGGTCGATAATCAACGTGAAAACCTGTTTAATTAACTAAATAAAAATTTGTCAACAGTTGAAAATATGACCAAATCCGTGGTAAATGTATTTATTTATCTGCTTTACGGGCGTTACCAAAAATTCTCTATCTTAAAGAATAAAAGAGCTATTTTTTTTCGGCCGTCCAACGTTAATCCCCCGTAAAGGGTGATCTTCGTTCACCTGTCGCTGGGGGATGTACAAGCCCCTGACGAGGTCGAATTGGCCATCGATGGGTTCTGGGTGTACCGTATGATGTTTTCTCTTCTGGGCCGCATCCCTGATCACCTGGACGGTCTTTATACCGAGGTCCCTTTCGCTTCTCCAATTAAGGACCCATACTTGGTCCAGCGAGGCAACGTACTGCAGCTCCACAGGATATTTGTCCGTGACGACCACCTGAAAGATGCGACACCTTTTATTTTCTTATTCGAGCACTGCCTTAGACACCTAATGTCCTTCCTATTTCGATATCTGCCGTCGAGTGACGCGTTTAAGGTGAAGTGAAACACGTCGAGCAACTTGATCGACGTCGATAAAGAAGATTTTTCTAAATGCCTCCGTTGCGGACGTTGGTTTTTATATTGACAGCTGTGTCAAATTATACTGGGTATTGTACCAAATGGCATACTCCACCTGTCGTTTTCGTACAATAAATATAAAGAAATCGAAGTAAAACTCCAGAAATCCTCTGGATTCATGCTTTCTGGGGCCCTAATTGACTACAGAGGGACCCCCTGCGCCATCTGTGATTTCCAGGTCAAACAAATTTTCACTCCGAGACCTCGTATTCCCATCGTTTTAGCATAGAAGCGCATACAACACTTTTTTTGCCTTTATCTCGTTCAAATGCGAGTTTATCGATTACCAGAGTGTTCTAAATTGTCATAAAATTGTCCTGACCCTTTCGATTCTCATTTCAGAGCCTTCGATAATTGTATATTGATCTGGCATCGGGCTCTCATATTACGATCAATATACAATTATCGAAGGCTCTGATATGAGAAACGAAAGGGTCAGGACAATTTTATGACAATTTAGAACACTCTGGTAATCGATAAACTCGCATTTGAATGGGATAAAGGCAAAAAATGTGTTTTAAGCGCTTCTATGCCAAAACGATAGGAATACGAGGTCTCGGAGTGAACATTTAATTGACCTGGAAATCACAGATGGCGCGCGGGTCCTCTGCAGTCAATTAGTGCCCCAGAAAGCATGAATCCAGAGGATTTCTGGAGTTTTACTTAGATTTCTTTATAATTAATGTACGAAAACGACAGGTGGAGTATGCCATTCAGTACAATACCCAATATAATTCGACCCAGCTGTCAATATAAAAACCAACGTCCGCAACGGAGGCATTTAGAAAAATCTTCTTTATCGACGTAGATCAAGTTCCTCGAGGTCTTTCACTTCACCTTAATCTTCCTTCTTTCGCAGAAAAGCGCTGGGCCAGTCGAGAGGAAACTTCCGCATTATAAATTTCACCTTCGTCTTTTTAAAGGAGCCTGACAATACCCGATTCGCTGCTCCTCGGCGGACTAAACGCTCTCGTAAACCGTAAACGCTGCGGTGGAATAGCTTGCAATCCATTGACTTCGAACGGTTTTTCGCCCTGGCATTCGGTTCTTCCGTGAATCCATTAAATCGACAAAATGGAGCTCTCCCGATTAATGGCGCTCGATTTAACGCGAGAATCTCGAGACGCCGCCTCCGTGTAACTGACGCTTTTGTTCCCGAAAAACTATCTTCTTCGGTTCGATTTTACCTCAGGGAATCTTCTTTCGCACAGGGTGCCTTTCCTGTCTAAGACAGTAAAGGACGGTAAATTCGATTATGGTTCGCTGGAGTCACTTAGGTGCAATTTTTATATTAACACATTCGCGACCGCTGACGTGAATTCACGTCTTTTCATGTTCTATCCCTGGTTGCCGATGACGTGAATTAACGTCATTTTAAATTCTATTCCTGATTGCCGCTGACGTGAATTCACGTCTTTTCAAATTCTATCCCTGGTTGCCGATGACGTGAATTAACGTCATTTTAAATTCTATTCCTGATTGCCGCTGACGTGAATTCACGTCTTTTCAAATTCTATCCCTGGTTGCCGATGACGTGAATTAACGTCATTTTAAATTCTATTCCTGATTGCCGCTGACGTGAATTCACGTCTTTTCAAATTCTATCCCTGGTTGCCGATGACGTGAATTAACGTCATTTTAAATTCTATTCCTGATTGCCGCTGACGTGAATTCACGTCTTTTCAAATTCTATCCCTGGTTGCCGATGACGTGAATTAACGTCATTTTAAATTCTATTCCTGATTGCCGCTGACGTGAATTCACGTCTTTTCAAATTCTATCCCTGGTTGCCGATGACGTGAATTAACGTCATTTTAAATTCTATTCCTGATTGCCGCTGACGTGAATTCACGTCTTTTCAAATTCTATCCCTGGTTGCCGATGACGTGAATTAACGTCATTTTAAATTCTATTCCTGATTGCCGCTGACGTGAATCACGTCCATGATACACGATACAAGTTTGCGGCAACCAGTTTCAGAATTACATTATTTTCGCCGGTACTCAGTATTTGAAACGGAAATCATTTGCCGGCCGCGAATGTGTTAACACATTGTTGTTCCCATAATGAACTAGTGGAACAAAAATATTGCAAAATTTCTCGTGTTTTTCCTGTACCAAATAAAGGGTCCGATAATAATCGTAAAGTAAAAAATGTATTTTTATTATATATGTTCATAAGTTAAAGAATATAGTTTTGATACGTGTATATAAATTATTGAAACTAGATGTGTCATTGAGATGTTCAACAAATATTTTATATATCTTCAAATGAAATCTACGAGGCATCTTAAAAAATCTGTCGCTTGAGATATGTAGCAAAGATTGGGAAAAATATTTAGAAAATATTCTCTGCTACTAGGGTTATATCGGTTGTATATATTTGTGGCATGATGACGTTGGGTCACATCTAATGGTCAATACCAATACTAATAGAAGGAAGGGCATTCTCGATCCATGCAATTCACGAGTACTAATTCTCAACGATCTTCGGGAAGAAATTGGTTTGGTGTCTTTGACCCTTTATTAAGGACTCAGTAACTTTATCAAAGGTCCCAGATTCTTCCTGGGAACCGAGTCCACCTTTGTAGCTTTGCGTTACTCTACGTCGGCTTTTCCGTTTCATAAATCCCACCTACGACTGGAATATGAATCGTCAATGAGCATGGAAACAAACGTCAAGTTATCTGGAGGCGAACATCAAGATGTGCAGGTGGGAGACAGAGGGAAAAATGCATATCCGATATCGATATCGGTATTTCATTTCCCCCTGACAATTCGTAGTTGCAGACCTATACATGCACGCCTGACAAATAGGTGTATCTACTCTGATGCTCATATCGGAGTACGTCATATCGCATGTGCATGCTCGTGTGATCGTCTTTGAAGCGCCGAGACCACTTTTCTGACATTTCCCTTATTTCTCCTTCTACGGAGTTCACTGGCACGTTTTCTTACACCTACCCACATATATCCGCCTGGAATATACATGTACCTCATTTGCGTATGACTTTCTTCGATATCGAACTGGCACACTTTTTATCCTAATCTCCCTGTTTCCTTTAAAAACAGTATCGAGTATGACGAACCGCGGTAAGTCGAAAATGTGCACGTGCTAATTTAGGAATATCATATAATAAGCTTCAAAAGTTTGGCATCGGCAAATATACCATAATCAAAGGGTTAATCGTTTATAAATTAGAAATCCATCATCCTAATCCCCCTGTTTCCTTTAGAAACAGTATAGAGTATGACGAACCGCGGTAAGTCGAAAATATGCACGTGCTAATTTAGGAATATAACTGGAAAAGACTAAAATAATATTGTTTCGTAGAAATCATAAAAGTGGGCCTGATGTACCGCGGATCGATTCAGTTATCTTCGATCCGACTATAAATGACGCGGATAGTATCGCAAAAGAAAAATATATTAGAATGTCAAATACGGTCTTATGAGGGGGCAGAAATGACGTTATCAAATTATTAGCGATAATGCCTTTTGCTTACGTACAAGTCATTGCTGGCCACGTTTGGTTTAAGGGATGTTTTTAGATCCTATGTAGACATATTTTTCAGGCTCTTTTGGGTTAAAGAAAAATGCAATAAGTGAAACGCGAAGTATTACAAAAAATATATATATTAGGGTGCCAAATACGGTCTTATGAGGGGGCAGAAATGACGTTATCAAATTATTAGCGATAATGCCTTATGCTTACGTACACGCCAGTGTCGGCCACGTCTGGTTTAAGGGATGTTTTTAGGTCCTATATTTTTCGGGCTCTCTTGGGTTAAAGAAACGTGTAACAAGTAAAATGTAAAAATGGTCCCATCCTTCCTGGAGAATTTCCAACTTACATCGACTACCACCATCTGGATTTTGCTGATCACCAGAATGCGATCCTTTTCCGGTTGCGTGACGTAAACGTAACGATTCGCCACGTTGATGGCTCTACCCCAGCTGCACGGAGTTCCTTTTTCGCCGCACACGTATTCCTGCAATGAACGAACCAACGTTTGTAAAATGAATTGGACGGATACGAGATGAAATATCATTAATACTTTGCAGGATAAACAAATAAGATTGATTGGTTCCTTTGATTTGATGGTTTTTTAATTTCCAAAGGCCCAGGGGCACCCTTTCCCTTTGTCCGATTAAGCTGAAATTTTCCTTATTACAAAAGAAGGAAAATTAGTTCACATTTCGTTCCCAACAACGNTATAAGATCATTTTTTCTTAAATAACAGTTTTTGAATTTTATTCAATTTAAATTTATGGCGGGAAATTTGTTAGTTCATACGTCCGGTACTATAGATCCAGAGGTCGCTGCAAACACTAGTCTCGAAGAATAACACGCGAGTGTTAGCCCCCTGCGAAAACAAAGCTCGGCACGGCTCGGGCCCTTTATTCCTTCACCTTGACCTATCAGTCTTTCGTAAACAGTCCTCGGAAGCGTATCGATTAGACGATTTCGTTGGGCGTAAATTTTTTAAAAGTTTTAGTGGGGAGTCCCGGTGTTTTCCAGCTGGAAGCCAGATCGAAGCCTACATGCGGAGCTCAACGTCTAACGTGCAGCGGTGGTAGCGGTGACAATTAAAGATGTCAATTCATCAAAAGGTTTGAGTAATTCTGGTATTATATATTATATATAAATTAGTATTTTGTTTTCCCACCCGAGGACTACATTTTTTTTCAGTCTTGAAAGCATCCTTTAGTTTGTTTTTGCTTGCAAAACCCTTGCTCAGGTGTCCAGAATTCACTCGTTCTTCTTCTAATCTTCAGAGCTATTTACATATGATAATTATTGATGATGATTATCTTTCACCTGAGGACTAGTTTTTTCGTCTTGAAGCATGCTTTAGAGCTATTTACACATGATAATTATCGATGATGATTATCTTTCACCTGAGGACTAGTTTATTTCGTCCTGAAGCATGCTTCAGAGCTATTTACATATGATAATTATCGATGATGTTTATCTCCCACCTGAGGACTAGTTTATTTCGTCCTGAAGCATGCTTCAGAGCTATTTACATATGATAATTATCCATGATGATGGTCTCCCACCTGAGGACTAGTTTATTTCATCTTGAAGCATGCTTCAGAGCTATTTACATATGATAATTGTCGATGATGATTGTCTCCCACCTGGGGACTAGTTTATTTCGTTTTGAAGCATGCTTTAGAGCTGTTTATATATGATAATTATCGATGATGTTTATCTCTCACCTGAGGACTAGTTTATTTCGTCTTGAAGTATGCTTCAGAACGTTTTCGCTTTCAAGAAACTCTCCCTTCCTCAGGTGGATAACAGTTTAGCTTCTCTCGATAAAGATTTCTTTCTAAGAAAAATGCATTAACGTCTGAGATTGAGCCTATTCTCAATTTGCAGTCATTGGTGGATTTTTTTTTCAATTGTCTCAGGCATTTAGAAGTGGCTTATTCACCCTGTTCTTCTCTCTTCATGATCTATCCTATTGCGGATTCGTTTATCCAATGTCGGGATTTCTTCAGATTCTCAATTTAAGATCTCATTGATTTATTTTACTTCATTGATATTTCTTTTGCAACCACCGCCAGCGGTGGTCTTTTCCCATTAATTTCACCCAAATTTGTTGATTGGCGTAAACTTGGCATTCTCCGGGACGCAAAGTTCTGATTAGGGTTGAGGGGTTAAATTTAAATGTTGTGCCCAGTGTTTACTCACGTTTGAAGGTATTTGCGGGGTAATATTCATAACGGCTTACCTGTGTTCCTGGTATGATGTCCGTAGATTGTATCTGGTGGTAGAGTCGGCAAGCAGACGGTTCATACACGGAAATGCCCCAATCATGAAAAGAGAAGAATCTACGTTCTTCGTTGGCAGCTGCTACGAAAATAATAACGATTTTATTTTGAGATTCACATATTTACTCATTAAATATGCTACGCTTAAAATGAACATTAGGGAACGATGGGTAAAATCAAGCCATTTGGATTTCTAAATCGTAAAACGTCTGTTTTCTTTTTAACGATTAATACATGGAAATGTCCCAATCATGAAAAACGAAGAATCTACGTTCTTCGTTGGCAGCTGCTACGAAAATAATAACGATTTTATTTTTGAGATTCACACATTTACACATTAAATATGCTACGCTTAAAATGAACATTAGGGAACGATGGGTAAAATCAAGCCATTTGGATTTCTAAAACTGTGAAAACGTCTGCTTTCTTTTTATTCTTCGCGACTCTGTCATTTATTTTCCAGGCGACGCGAGAAATGGGGACGTTTCTCCTTTTTCAATATTTTCAATTTTTCAACCTTTCTCCCTGCTTTTTTAATTAGCTCTCTTGACGTGGAGAATCGAGCACGTGACGGGCACTTTGCAGGGATGGTTAATACCGTGAAAAATGGCAGTCTGTGCCGGTACCGTTGTTGACAGTCGGGCAAAACGTCCACGCGGAAAAGAGAAAAATTAATTGCCCCGACACAGGGATCCACTACGAGAGATTAAAGCTCGGTTCCATCTAAGCGATTTAACGGAAGCTTTAATGCCACTAGAGCTTTTTGTACTCCGCCTTCGTCCATCCGTTTGTCTTTGGTTATCTCCGGCTTGAAAATTGCGGCTAATCCGCGGGGTTGAAGCTCCCGGAAGTCGCGATTTCAGATGTCACGTGAATTCCCAAAGCGGTTCAGAGTGACGCTAAAGCGATCTCCGCGAGGCATCCGATTATTTATAGAACTTTTTATTAAACTGGATGCACCGAAACTCTCCCACGTGGATATGCAAGCCCTAAGGAGGGTCTCGACACCCATGAAATTCCGGATTTCGGAAAGAAACTTTTTATTTATCCCAGACTAGAAGCAAGATGGTCGTGGGCACATATTTTTAGATTTTAGGCCTTTTGAAGACTTAGATTCGAGATCGAAGATCTTCAGCATAATCACTTAAGCCATTATAATTATCGAACGTTACGGATTGATGGGTTATATGCAGTTGTCATAAGCGAAATTCAAGAATATTTTTTTTCATAAGTAAAACGCATTTTTTAATCAAAAACAGAGCGTGATTTCATAGTACAATTATTGAACTTAATATATCATTTTTTTTTCAAGATATATATTTAAAAATTGGCGAGGTTATATGCAGTTGTCATTTTACGACAATTTATAACACTCTGTTAATCGATAAACTCGCATTTGAACGGGATAAAGGCAAAAGAAGTGTCTTATGCGCTTCTATGCCAAAACGATGGAAATACGAGGTCTCGGAGCGTAAATTTAATTGACCTGGAAATCACAGATGGAGCAGGGGGTCCCTCTGCAGCCAATTAGGGCCCCAGAAAGCATGAATCCAGAGGATTTCTGGAGTTTTACTTAGATTTCTTTATAATTATTGTACGAAAACGACAGGTGGAGTATGCCATTTAGTGCAATACCCAATATAATTCGACCCAGCTGTCCATATAAAAACCAACGTCGGCAACGGAGGCATTTAGAAAAATCTTCTTTATCGACGTCGATCAAGTTCCTCGACGTGTTTCACTTCACCTTACCGAGAGCTATATCGTCAGCAGAGCTTTTTATATTGTACCTCCGTCGATGCGTCGATTTTCGATTCTGTCGGGCCCGAAAATTGCGGCCAACCCGTGGGTTGGGAAACCGGCGAAAGTCATAAGATTTCAGATGTCGCGAAAATCCCTAAAGCGGCTTCAATTTGAAAGCATTCGCGAGAATTCTCTCTCTATGATTTGGCAGGATGGAACGGCGACTTCCGGTCGATAAGGCAGCGTCCATCCCGGCAACACACGTGAACTCTAGGACGGCCATTCAGTGAATATTAGTGAGGAGCAATAGCGGTCGAGTTGGATCTGGTCTCGGTAGGCCCTTGAGCCTCGTAATCGTCCATTTGCATTCAAGATTCACGTGCGCTTTCCCATTATTCCAATTTCCATTTGGCATCGTGCATTTTCCCGGCGGACCCGCTCTTTCGCGAAAGCTTAAGTCTTCGTCGACGTAATAGAGTCGCCTAACTCAAATTGAAATCGAGGGTCACAGGTACAGTGGCGGACATGAGTGCCTCCCCTGCTGATACGGCATTGCCTGTGCAGGATGGGAGGGCATTGATGTCTCCCAGTGTACGTTCGTAATCCGCAGGTCCTGGGACTGTCCGATACGACATTTAACACAATTCGATGGATTTCCAGGCCTGACCGACCGAAAACCAGCCGTCACTTTCGCAAACAATACCCTACGTCACCGAATGTCGGCCAATAAGCTTCTGCATAATACAAAATGACAAGAAACTGTCTAAATTGGGTCGTCGGAAAAGTCATGACGCATTCTTCTATGTTCCACCTGTTACGAAAATGCGTCATTACTTTTCCAGCATCCTCAATGTAATAAATGAGATAAAAGGAAAATAGACTTTTCAACTTTTCAGGCCAGGCTTTGGCGCTGATCTCGGATCTCTTTAGGGTTTTTTTTTTTTTAATATATATGCATGTAAAAAAATGTCAAATTATACGCTCTCCGTGTTATACGGCGATTTACATCGTCATGAAGTTTTGACGGGACGGCTGTTACTACTGAAGTATTCAAAATGACGTTCCCACCAAAAAGGGTATAGATGAAGTTTTAATTTATTTACGTCGATTAAGTATCTCAGCGCCTTTAATATTATCTTAAAAATTGTTCTTACTTGGAGTCGGTTGCTCCTGAACGACGAGGCTACTGATGTCTCTGGTGAGTCCTCCGATGCTGGTAGCCTGACACATGTATGCTCCCGTGTCGGCGTAATCGATGTTTCTGACGACTAGTCTAGTACCGTTTCCGACTACTTCGTACTTGTTCTCTTTGTCGTGCAAAGGCTCGTCATTTTTCAGCCACTCGACGCGTGGGAGTGGTTCCCCGACCACGTGGCAGCACATGGTAGCTTCCTCTCCAGGTCGCTTGGATTGAAGTCTCGGAGTGACTCTGACCTCGGGGATCGCTATCGATAACAGATCGAAGGTGTCAATCAAACTCGTCGAGGGTGTAGGACGAACTTCCTGGGTGGAAGTGCCGGTGGAGATATTTATTGCTTCCGGACGGGATCGGACTGGGAGTCGTTTGCTCCTCGTTATCGCGAACTATCGATCAAATTGTCTTGTTTACCGGAAACCCGACGTAGAGAGTATCCTCGAGGGCTTTATGGCGGATCTAGAGCTCCCCTTTGCGAAATCTCCCGGATAGATCTTAAGGAGCAGATTTGCAGGGTCGTTGCCAAACCGATAGAAGTTCGGGCTCTTTGGGGAATTGATATCGAGTCTCGGACACGAGGACTTGTCGATCTTTCTGTTCGTTCCAATCATTTTAGGAGAGACCACCGTCGAGAGATCTTTTCAAGACATCAGTTTCTCATTGCACCTTTTTGAAAAAGGACCCTTGTAGCACAAAATATTTACCCTATATTTTCTATATATTTAATGAATATCGTACGTTTTGTAAATATTCAGCAGACATTTGAAATATTTGTAAGACGTTTACTTTAGAATATTATCTCTATAATATTTATATAATATTAGCTCCAAGTGTTTTCATAATATCTTTCTACCAGATATATACAACATTTCGTTTCATTTTAATCCCAGTATTTTTTAAATATTATCTACCGAATGCACTATAAACGGCTTAAAAATATTTAAAATCAAAATCACACGTTTTGCTCTCATAATGAAATAGCGGAACGAAAATATTACAAAAATTTCTCGTGTTTTTTTTTATATCAAATGAAGTGTCCGATAATGGTCGTGAAGTAAAAAATGTATTTTTATTATGTTCATAAGTTAAAACATATAATTTCTATATATGTTTATAAATTATTGAAACTAAATATATCATTGAGACTTTCAACAAATATTTCAAATATCTTCGAATGAAATCTACAAGAAATCTTAAAAAATCTGTCGCTTGAGATATGTAGCAAATATTACAAAGAAATATTTAGAAATTATTCTATGCTACTAGGGGAAGTGCGGTTTTGATATCTTTCAGGTCTCGCGGAGAAAATCACCCTTTTAAACGAAGTGGTATAGAAATTGCAATCGCTCATAATGTATCGTTTTAACGTTAAAACTACCTAGGCGATCAAGTGACCGATTTGAAAATTATTCCTTAAATTTGATCGATTTTCCTCTACTCTACTTCACTACTTTCCCTGTAGTGTATATAAAACCAATTTTGCATTGTCTGTTTCCCCTCATGTATATAAATACTATACCCATTTCTACCGTGATCGATCCTTTGACCGGTTGAATAATCAGTTCTACACTTTTAATATTTAAACAAATTTGGGTATTTCTTAATATCATTTACTCCATACACAGATGCCAATACACATAAGTTTGGGTATTCCCATTTCATTTGTCTGTGTCGCCTGGATACAATGATACTCGGCGCATACTATTGCGTTAATCATTATCCTGACTTAATTGACCATTACTTGCCTTTAATTGAGGGGAATATAATTTGTATTTAAAAACCGGTCATTTGAACGGTCCCGGTAGAAATAGATATGCAGTCGTCGGTAGTTGTGGTGTTAATTTGTTGGTATGGTTTTCCATGATCTCTATATAAATACTATACGCATTTCTACCGTGATCGATCCTATGACCGGTTGAATAATCAATTCTAAACTTTTAATATTTAAACAAATTTGGGTATTTCTTAATATCATTTACTCCATACACATATGCCAATACACGTAAGTTTGGGTATTCCCATTTCATGTGTCTGTATCGCCTGGATACATTGATACTCGGCGCATACTATTGCGTTAATCATTATCCTGACTTAATTGACCATTACTTGCCTTTAATTGAGGGAAATATAATTTATATTTAAAAACCGGTCATTTGAACGGTCCCGGTAGAAATAGGTATGCAGTCGTCGGTAGTTGTGGTGTTAATTTGATGGTATGGTTTTCCATAATCTCTTACTGTGTACGGTGAGGACGTGAGTTTGGACCACGTCCTTATTCCTGAGTGCGTGGCAAGTGTAATTCCCAGCATGCACCAGTTGCACCCTGGTTAGATAAAGACTTCCGTCGTTGAACACTCGGATCTGTGGGAGAAGCTTCAGTTAAAAGTTCGCACGGTGAAGACAATGCTAATTCCCCTGATCAGCTCACCTCTTGTTCGGAGAGAGCCTCGAGATCGGCGTCGTTGCGGCGCCAGACCAGAGGTGGCGGTGGTGTGCCAGTCACGTCGCATTTGATCTCCACGTTGTCTCCCACTCTCGCTGATATGTGGTTGATTTCCAAGGATTTATCCAGGGACACCACGGAAACGCCTGTACAGGAAGATACCATTTTAGCTTTCATTTAACCCTCTTATTAGATGGCAAATTAGTTAGGACTCGATAAACAATTTATTATAGAAATAAGATTGTTTTTCAAAGATGTATCAAAGGACACCAAGGAAACGCCTGTATAGGGCGATGCCATTTTAGCTTTCATTTAACACTCTTATTAGATTACAAATTAGCTAGGACATGATAATCTATTATAGAAATATGATTGTTTTCCAAAGACTTATCCAGGGACACCAGGGAAACGCCTGTACCGAATGACGCCATTTTAGTTTTCAATTATCACTCTCTTATTAGATGGCAAATTAGCTAGGACTCGTTAAGCAATCTATTATAGAAATTTGATTGTTTTCCAAAGATGTATCAAAGGACACCAAGGAAACGCCTGTATAGGGTGATGCCATTTTAGCTTTCATTTAACACCCTTATTGGATGGCAAATTAACTCAAACTCGTGAAACTTGATCTATTATAGAAATGTGATTGATTTTTAAAGTCTTATCCAAGGATATCACGGAAACGCCTGCACAGAGTGACGCCATTTTAGTTTTCATTTATCATTCTCTTATTAGATGGCAAATTAGCTCGGATTCAGGAGATTTATTGAAAAAAGGAATTAACATTGAAAAAAGTATCCTACATACCGATATAGAAAATCATATACAGATATGAAAAATTGTTTGCATTCAGTACATAGTATTTGAAAAACTGCTCGTAATCGACGCCACGTAAACGAGGAGTGTCTGAAAAGGGGTTGCAGCCAAACGGTTCCATTTTGTATTTGAAAAGAAAACAAGAAGACTCGTAGAACGAAGTCCCATCGGTGAAAGTCCCATTTAGTGTTCCCTTTTTTTTTCGTTTTTTTCCCCCTTAAAACATGTAAAAAGTCGGAATGATTTTCCGACACTCGTCGCGACATGACTTTTTTGGGATCTCGTTTTGCCTCGTTACGAGACATCCGACATGTGCGAGAAACTCGACACCGTCCTCGTCCCAGTCCTCTCTGCAATTAGCATCTGATTAGCCGAAAGCGATCCCCTCGGCGTACATCGGGCGTAATTAGTCCGCGCAAAAGTACAGCTGAAACTTCATCCGAGAAGCGAAGCGTTAACGTAGCCTCGCAAGCTTTGTACAACTGCGGGGCACAAAGGCTGAGAAGAAAATGCCGTGGAAGACGCAAGGATAGGATCTTCGGGTTCTTCGCCGTGCCGCGTAACGTTCCGCATAACGTCCCGCATCCTTGGGATCAAAGGAACCCAGAGGAGTTCCCAATTGTCGGAGAGGAAGTGGTATCTCTATCTACGGCATGAAGTACCATCATCCGAAAGGTGGCTAGAGGAGACGGCCAAAAGATTTGGCAAGAACAAAAGGGGAGATGAGCCCTCCGACGCTGATTCAGTCCTAGGGACAGGCATCTACAGCTTTTACGATTCCGCGGAAAGACTTTCGGAATAAGTGCATTCTTTGAGAATCCACGGAGGAAGAGCTGTCGGGGAAGTTACCGCACCTCACCAATGTATGTAAATGAGGGAATGAGAGATGGCGGCCTAGGAGAATTGTTACGTTAAGGTGAAGTGAAACCCCCTTCGAAATAGTCGATTTGAATATAACACTTTTTTTTAAGGGTATTGGACCAAACTGTCCGAAACTTTGACACAGACTCGTAATCATCTAAGAGTTGTCCTGACACATTCAAAATCTAGATTTTTGGAGAACATTCTTTAACTTAGCCCAGAACAGAACCAAAATGGCGTCGACCTCTCATATTTCGATCAGTATACAATTATCGAAGGCTCCGATATGATAAACGAAAGGGTCAGGACAATTTTACGACATTTTAGAACACTCTGGTAATGGATATACTCGCATTTGAACGAGATAAAAGCAAAGAAAGTGTTTTATGCGCTTCCGTGCCAAAACGATGGGAATACGAGGTCTCGGAGTGAAATTTTAATTGACCTGAAAATCACAGATGGCGCAGGGGGTCCCTCTGCAGTCAATTAGGACCCCAGAAAGCATGAATCCAGAGAATTTCTGGAGTTTTACTTCGATTTCGTTATAATTATTGTACGAAAACGACAGGTGGAAAATGCCATTTAGAGCAATATCCAATATGATTCGACTCAGCTGTCAATAGAAAAACGAACGTCGGCAACGTAGGTGTTTAGAAAAATCTTCTCTATCGACGTCCATCAAGTTCCTCGACGTGTTTCACTTCACCTTAAAATGGGAATGGGGGAAAAAAAAGGTAATAATGCCGAGGTCACGAAGAGTACCTACTGTAGAGTTTGCTGAAAGCCATGTAGAACTCATTAATGTTCAGGCGGCCATCTTTGTCGGCGTCGTCGTAGCTGATCATATGGCCCAAAGAGCAACCTCTGCTCAGCTGTTCCAGATCCTCCCGTTCTGCGATCTGTTGGTAAAATTAAATTCATTATTCATAAGTTAAAGTATCTTTTTTTTTTCGAATCGGTTTCCACAATTCATTTGTCGCAGGAATGTTACGTTTCGGGGATAAATATTAAAATGCAGAATTTCTTAATCTTCAATTCTTGTAATCTTATATATACGTCCGATCTTTAATACCACTCACTGAGACTACTCGCAATTGATGTTACTACCCTCTGATAAGAGAATATGGATTACAGTCTACTGGAAAGTATTACTTAAAAAAAAAACAAGTTTTATTATAAAGTATTAACACATTCGCGACCGCTGACGTGAATTCACGTCATTTTAAATTCTATTCCTGATTGCCGCTGACGTGAATCACGTCCATAACGATACACGATACAAGTTTGCGGCAACCAGTTTCAGAATTTCATTATTTTCGCCGGTACTCGGTATTTGAAACGGAAATCATTTGAAATGACTTCTAACGTGAATTCACGTCCTTTCAAGTTCTATTCCTGGTGCTGCTGACGTGAATTCACGTCATTTTAAATTATTTTCCTGATTGCCGCTGACGTGAATCACGTCCATGACGATACACGATACAAGTCTCCGACAACCAGTTTCAGAATTTAATTATTTTCGCCGGTACTCATTATTTGAAACGGAAAAAATTTTCCGGTCGTGAATGTGTTAAGTACCTATGAAATCGAATCTATAAAAAGAGCATGTGAAACGGATTCAGCAGGTAGTAGAGAATGAAAAAAGCGTGCTACGTGAAAAACGAAGAAAAAGTGTTTCGACCTGTTCGAGTTCTTCGCGTTCCAGATTGCCATTGTTGTTCTGATCGTAGTGAGAAAACATGATGCTGACGAGGTACTCCTTGCTGTGATTGTCCTGTGCCATTAACCTGGCGTGATTGTACAACAGGAGGTTGTCCTAAAGAAAGGAAAAATAATTGTTGCTTTTTTCCCGGCATAAAATCGTCCTCTGCTATTTCTCGATAACTACATCGAATCTTTAACTACTCGTGTCAGAAAAAAATATGTTCACCTTCATGATTTCATATTCCTGAGCCGAACAGTCCTCCAAGTCGTAGCTATCGGCCTCGACGAGATTATCCTTGACAGAATCCTTGTGTTCCGTTGGCGATTTGTTAGGTTTCTTAGAATTCGGCAAGTCGGTTTCTCTGATTGGAAGAACTTTTGGGGTACCGTGGTGATCTTCTGCAAAATGAGAAACAATAAGAAATGATGTTTAAGGCGAAGTGAAATCCCCTTCAAATCAGTCGATTCGAATACGATACTTTTTTTTTAAGGGTATTGGACAAAACTGCCCGTAACTTTGGCACATGACTCGTGATCATCTACGAATTGTCCTGACATATTTAAAATTTGGATTTTTGGAGAAAATTCTTTAATTTAGACCAGACCAGAATCAAAATGGGCGTCGAGCTCTCATATTTCGATCAATATACAATTATTTTCGAAGACTTCGATCCCTGAATTGCAGCTGCAATTAAGGTGAAGGTGAAACCCCCTTCAAATCAGTCGATTTGAATACGACACTTTTTTTTTAGGGTATTGGACAACACTGGCCGTAACTTTGACACATGACTCGTGATCATCTAAGAATTGTCCTGACATATTCAAAATTTGGATTTTTGGAGAGAATTCTTTAACTTAGACCAGACCAGAATCAAAATGGGCGTCAAACTCTCATATTTCGATCAATCTACAATTATCGAAGCTCTATAACTAGAGCACTCTGGTAATCGCTAAATTCGCATTAGAACGGGATAAAGGCAAACAAAATGTTTTATGCGCTTCTATGCCAAAACGATGGAAATACGAGGTCTCGGAGTGAAAATTTAATTGACCTGGAAATCATAGATGACGCAGGGACTCCCTCTGCAGCCAATTAGGGCCTCAGAAATCATGAATCCAGAGGATTTCTGGAGTTTTTCTTCGATTTCTTTATAATTATTGTACGAAAACGACAGGTGGAGTATGCCATTTAGTGCATCACCCAATATAATTCGACCCAGCTGTCAATATAAAAACGAACGTCGGCAACGTAGGCATTCAGAAAAATCCTCTTTATCGACGTAGATCAAGTTCCTCGACGTGTTTCGCTTCATCTTAACGCCTTCGAAGAAGGACGGAGGAATCCTCCCGAAAGGGCCATGAGAATTTCTTCTCACTTGATCGCGTTCCTAAAAAACACCTGTTGATACCGAGAGAGGAAACGCGCCTCTCGTCGCCCACTTCCGACAAACTCGAACTTTTGCGGTTCGGCTCGCCATCCGGAAACGCTACCACGTTACACTTGGTTTCCGCGGTTTGCTGCCTGAAGGAAATCCTGATCCAACCAGTGAGTTTTACAGCCTTAGTGAAGGAAAACCGGAAACCCGGAATACCTAGGGTCTGAATTCCCGCAACAGAGGTAGGTGCGATAGGTATTAGGTTGTCCACAAAGCTATTGGTTTTTGTCGTTTAAGATCTGACGGCTTGCTTTCTAATATACTTCTTCATACTTTATGCCCATATTACATGCTACTTTAAACGTCGACTTGTTTTTTTTTTTCATTTTTTTTGTTAGGACTAATCCATAATCTAGTAATTATAACGCTAATTTCTAATTTGGAATACTCTCTGCAGCGATCTGGGTGGTCTATTCTTCCTTATTTCAAGTTCCGTTTATTTCCCTCGGGTCTCTCCATGTCATATAGCGTCATTGATTCCGTCACATACTCATACTCATGACTTAAACTGATTTCTAAACGGTAACTCTCGCGCTTCGCTCTATTATCTGCCACCGTGGTCCTTTGGCCCTTGATTCGTTTTTTTCTAAGAACCCCTGGTCTTATGGCAAGTCCTATGTCCTTTAGAATGGCATATAACATGGACATGAAGGACGAAACAATTATAATTGAGAATAAAAAGGTCCGATCTTGGTGCACTTTTTACGAGTGCGAACACTCGTAAGGGCACCAAGAAATGGTTTTATATAGAAACGTGAATAAATTTAATTTAATTGATTAACGGCAACACAATTGGCACCGCGTTCCAACGTTCGGTTAATTTAATAATTGAAAATGAAAAGTTCCAATCTTGGTGCACTTTTGAGTGCGCTTTAGAATTGTACATAACATCGCCATAAAGGACAAAACAATTATAATTGAAAACAAAAAGGTCCAATCTTGGTGCACTTTTGAATGCGCTTGAGAATGGCATATAACATGGACATAAAGGACGAAACAATTATAAGTGAAAACAAAAAGGTCCAATCTTGGTGCACTTTTGAATGCGCTTGAGAATGGCATATAACATGGACATAAAGGACGAAACAATTATAATTGAAAACAAAAAGGTTCAATCTTGGTGCACTTTTGAGTGCGATTTAGAATTGCGAATTATAATTGAGAATAAAAAGGTCGAATTTTGGTGCACTTTTGAATGCGCTTTAGAATGGCACATATCATGGACATAAAGGACGAAACAATTATAATTGAAAATAAAAACATCCAAACTTGGTGCACTTTTACGAGTGCGAACCCTCGTAAGGGCACCAAGAAATGGTTTTATATAGAAACGTGAATGAATTTGATTTATTTGGTTAACGGCAATACAATTGGCACCGCGTTCCAACGTTGACATTGCGTTTCGTTTTCGGTTAATTTGACGTCGTTTCGGTTTGACGCGTGGAGCAGCGTTCACCATCGACGGGGGTTAAATTGCTACGGAACTAGTTTACCAGCATCCATGGTGGATACGCCTGCAGCTAGGCATCGAGTTATCCGGTATCTGGCAAACTGCATCGTCCGATTCCGGCATACGATTTGCCGATATCAACTGACCGTACGCACAATTTGTAATGGAAGTTGCTGCGGCTCCATTGACATCAAACCCTCGACGACGCAGCGCCATTAAGCCTGATAATACATTGCAAGTGGACGCGTGTCTTTTCGTATGAAAGGAACACGATTGCAAACCGGCAGTTAAGATGATATGAAAGGCGCTGAGAAATTTAATCGAGGTCGATCATTTAAAATTCATCTATCCCCTTTTTGGTGGGAACGTTATTTTGAACACTCAAGTGGTAATATTAGTTGACGCTTTCCGTTGCCGAGATTAATATTTATGTTCAAGTCTTTTACCCTCTACGTTGAGAATTATACGAAATGATATTTATGTTCAAGTTTTTTTACCCTCTACGTTGAGAATTATACGAAACGAAGCGTTCCATACGTCATTTCGGAATCATTTGAAACGTTAAATCGTGATTATGGAGGCCCTAAGGAAGAACGCGACGATCGCGAAATTTCATTAGAAACATTTTTTTTCATTTAGCTTAAGGTCTCAAATTACTCGATGCACCCAATTTGGTTTGGAGAGGAGTTTTATAAATATTTTCAAGTCTTATATATATAGAATGACCTTCTTATCCTTCCCTACCATCTTAAGATGATATGAAAGGCGCTGAGAAATTTAATCGACGTCGATAAATTAAAAATTCATCTACACCCTGTTTGGTGGGAACGTCATTGTGAATACGCAAATGGTAACATTAGCTGGCGCTTTCCGTTACCAAGATTAATATTTATGTTCAAGTCTTTTACCCTCTACGTTGAGAATTATACGAAAGGAAGCGTTCAATATGTCATTTCGAAATCATTTGAAACGTTAAATCGTGATTATGGAGGCCCTAAGGAAGAACGTGACGATCACGAAATTTCATTAGAAACATTTTTTTTTTCATTTAGCTTAAGGTATCAAATTATTCGATGCACCCAGTTTGGAGAAAAGTTTTATAAATATTTTAACGTCTTATATATATAGAATGACCTCCTTATCCTTATCTATCAACTTAAGATGATATGAAAGGCGCTGAGAAATTTAATCGACGTCGATAAATTCAAATTCATCTACACTCTTTTTGGTGGGAACGTTATTTTGAATACGCAAGTGGTAACATTAGCTGGCGCTTTCCGTTACCAAGATTAATATTTATGTTTAAGTCTTTTACCCTCTACGTTGGGAATTATACGAAATGAGGCATTGCATATGTCATTTCGGTTAAGTAATGATGAAAAGATCGACGTAAAACTGTCGATATCGGGAATTCATTATTCTAACGACTGTTTAGGACCAACGTCGCCATCTGTGACGTTTAGCTGCAGAAACGCATAAAACACTTATTTTGCCTTTATCCCGTTTAAATGCGAGTTTATCGATTACCAGAGTGTTCTAAATTTTCGTAAAATTGTCCCGGCCCTTTTGTTTCTCATATCAGAACCTTCGTTAATTGTAGATTGATCGAAATATGAGAGGCCGACGCCATTTTGGATCTGGTCTGGGCTAAGTTAAGAAATTTTTGTCAAAAAATCCAAATTTTGAATGTGACAGGACATTTCTTAGACGATCACGAGTCATGTGTCAAAGTTTCGGACAGTTTGGTCCAATACCCTTAAAAAATAAAATGTTGTATCGGAATCGACTAATTTCAAGGGGGTTTCACCTTCACCTTAATTGCCGCTGCAATTCGGGGATCGAAGAACCATTTGATCTTTCTCATTTCCGTAGACGCTCGATAGTAACGGTCTCAAACTCGCATATTATCAGGGATAATGGTAACGATAATAAGATTACTAGACTCCCCGGATGTTCGGGCAGGAGGTCGGAGGCGTAATCTGAAATTGTACCTTCCGAACAACGAGAGTTAATTCCACCTTGCGCCTGGCTGCGATCGGATATCAAATTAGTTGGATAATTGCGATTCGTTTCGGTGGGGTACGGATGACTTTTTAATTACTGCCTTCGACACCCTTCCGGTTAATCTCTTTAATTGCCGCGAACACCGGAGACCGTACCGAGGGTCCTGGTGTCTCGCATCGACTCGAATTACTCTTTCTTTTTCAAGTGGAACTTCTTATCTTCTTATACTAGACCCCAGAGTTAGTTCACAGGTTATATAAGGGATTTGTATGTAAAGTGAAACCTTGTTTTCATTGTCTTTTACCAGTATATTGCAATTTACATTAATTTTTCTATGAACATCATTTGCGGAAACGTGTTCGTTGGTATTGATTCAATTTAATTTCTTGTCTATCGACTCGAATTACTCTTTCTTTTTCAAGTGAAACTTATCTTCTTATACTAGACCCCAGAATTAGTTCACATGTTATATAAGGGACCTGTCTGTAGAATGAAACCTTGTTTTCTTT